ATATACGACACATAGCGAACCAAATAAATAAGACGTATTTGAATAATCATTTTATTCTGCAAGCACAAACTAAAATTTGCATTAAAATTACTTAGAACATCCATAAAAGTTGCTTAGAAAGTCCATAAAGTCTATAAAAAGTTACTTAGAAAGTCCAGCAACCACTGTGATTTTGTTGGCATCACAAAAGATGTGCCTGTGCTCTTTGACAACCTGCAGTAGATACTGTTTCTGATCTTCATTCTTTGTGAGGCTTCAAATAAAATTTAAAATAAGCTTCACCTCCTTTCAGTGACATCATTGACAACCTTCCTGAAATGCACAATTTTAGTAGCCTTCTGAAAGTCTGCATCATCAGCCTAGTCTGCTGTGGGAATTATTAAAAAGGCTTTTGGCAGATCAAGAGCTTCGAAGAAACGTATCGTGCTGGTAGTGACAAAATCACTGATCTGCTTTCCTTCATAATCTGCTTGATTAAGGGCATCACATCACTTGGTGGAACCTCTAGTCTGAACCTTCCTTTTCCATAATATTGTGAACGATCAGCTTCTTCATGTTCTTCTGTCACACTGGAGTCGAAGCATGCCAGGCCAACCATTTCTTCACTCAAGTACCAAAGATGTCGGCCCGAAGCTGTTAAGGCTGCTTTCTTGACAACTGAATTTTCATACTGTGACAGCTTCTTTAGGAATACCAAATTATTTGCAGGAGCTTCAAAACTTCATGCAGAAACTTCATGCAGTTTGGGCAACCTCTAAAACATCTCCTTTTTCTTCAAAATGTCTACCTAAATCATCTTCTGGATGCTAAAATCTAATGCAGGGTTCTAATCAGTGAGGATTTTTCATTCATAATTTTCATTCATAAAGATCCCTTAAAGTTAAAACTAAAGTCTAGCCTAATAGTCTAATAGTCACAAATAATTGTATTTGCTTGGTCATAAAATGTGACCAATTTTAGCTTTAAAAAGTGAGACTTAAATAATAATTTTCTTGGTCACTCACATGCATGCGTTATTATGCTGTTACATAATATTCAGTGTACAGATAGTTTGTGTTACTGAAGGGGACCACTGTTTTAACTGAATGTACAAAATAATGTGATTCTATGATCCTCTTGAATTTGCTAGTACATGCCCAGCACATTTAAAATTATCAATTTATTTGATCTTTCTATTTGATGATGTTATAGCTCATCAAATCTTAATATGTAGCTTCCTTCATAATATCGTTGCTCAGAATCTTGTTGCTCCCAGAATTCCCTTAGGGTCTTTTTGGTGATCTATGACTGCTGTAAATCAAGATTACCTGTCCTGTAAAAAAAATCCCACCTGAGTTTCACATAAGACGCTCCAGCACATTTGATCAGATAACTATAACACCTAAAGGATAACATCGTGATATACTAACAAAATGTCAAATGACGTTACTCATGGTGCCTAGTGCTTTTTCTGCATGTGTGTGAGATGTGTGTAACTGTTTGTATCTTATCAGAGTTAATCTATCAGCAGTTGTGATCAGATTACGATGGATTATACTGTGGCTGTTGGATGCTAGACAAGGACTCAGCGTGCATGTGAGTAAGCGGCACTCCTAATGCTGTGAATCTGTCCTGGCTGTATAAACTCATATGGGCCTGGACTTGTTGACACACACACGCACTGGGTTGGCCTTATCTGTGTGGGGCTTAGAGGGCATCCCATTATCAGAGAGCAGGTGTAAGGGCTCACGAGAGTCCGCTAACAACTCTGTCAGATGGAGAATTTAACTACTGCTGGGCGTATTTACTTTACCTTGAAGTTAATGTAAAAAAAAAAGTGAATCTGAGACTTTATTGTGTTGGTTAAAGACAGAGGAAAGAGCTGGAGGCAGATGATATATATTTAGTTTTTTGATTATGAGAATACCCATCCATCCATCCATCCATTTTCTTCCACTTATTACCATAACCCCATAACCCTAACCCTTACCTAACCTTTTTTAGTACTGATACCTGCTCAAAAGAGTATCTAGTTTGAGTAGAGTATTATGTAGTAGAGTATCTAGAAACTAGATGCTCATTATTTGTATCTGTCCCAGTATATATTTTTATAGCCCTAGACCAAAGTGAATGGATTAGAAATGAGAGGGACTTTTTTACATATGAAATCACAGAGCCAATGTTGATGTTTTGAATTTGTTAATCTCATGTGGAGAGCTTAACTTGCAAGAAATACATGGCCTACATGCTTTCAAAATCCAAGATTCAGTCAATACTGTTCTAACAATAATTCTGTATTTTAAAAAAGGGTGTAATTGTGATGCTCTAAAGCAATAAAAAAGAGCAGCACATATCCATACATACACAATCATATTCATGGCGTGATAAGAGTGATAATAGTGTCAGGTGCTGCACAGAACACAGGTAAAAGATTACGGCATACTTTTGCAGGTTAGTATACAGCCTATATTATTCAGGAACAGTGTGTACTTAAGTGTAATATGTAGAGGAGACAGAAAATATAGCAATTTTCTGTTGTAATTACCCAAATGGAGGAAAATATGATTTGAACTCCTCTTCTTGGCAGTGCGTGTATTTGCACATTATTCAGCTGTGGTAAAAAATAATAATAAAATCTACTTTTGATCCGAGCCAATTTGTCCCACTCTTATAAAAATCTAAAATCCAGTGTGACAGCCTCATCTTTTATGTATTGTGATATTTCTGGAGATGCTTTAGTATTCAGTTCAAGTGAGGCTCCTACTTTTGACCTGTCAAGTGCCATTTTGTCACATATACCACTGTCACGTTGCATTGTAGCTCAGCGCCAGAGACACAGAAATTGCTCTTTTTCTCCAAAATACACATCGCACTCCACAATCAGTTTCCTCAGACTATATAGACTATATTAGTGTATCATGATACTAATATTTCTATACCAATTTACATACCACAATGATAATTAAAACACTTTCTTTATACAACAGAATGAGATATTCAACATTAAATCGTAGTACTTAAGTATATCTATATAATCCCTTAGCCGTACAGGTAGGTTCTATAGTAATACAAGAATATTTATTCTGATATTGCTCAAGATCATTCTAAAGCTATTCAGGAAAGGTACATTTTTGTCCCGTGATTGTGACTTTTTTTGTATTTAAACCTGCTCAAATGAGTATTTAGTTTCAGTACAAATTTTATTATTGATTAGTATGATTTCTGATACTTTTGACCCTACATTTTATCTGATTTCAAAATAAGAAACATGGAGAAAATATAGGAGGACTTTGGTTGACGCAGTGACTCAGTGTTTCATTCTGAGCTCAATCAGATCTAGAGTATTTTTGCCTTACTGTGTGTGTCATGTCCATCTGGCGGACAAAGCAAACGACTGCCAAAGAAACACAGCAGGAAGGACAAAAAGAAGAGAAAGTTTGGGGAAGAAGTTGGAAAGGAGGAGGACAGATGGAAGATTGATTAGTGAGAAAAACAGCAAAATGTTGAATTCATCAAGTTAGAAAATGACATTTAGAAGGAATTAAACAAACACTTTTTATTGATGATGTCATGATACTGTGGTGTGACTATTGTGAGAAGAAACATAATTTTACTGCACTTTAGTTACTGAAACTAATTATTCATACTGCCAAACCTGATGGTTTTTTTTAAATCTAGATTTTCTGAAAGTAAATAAACACAAACTATTAATATTAAGAAAATTCCTATTCCTATTCCTAAAATTACAATTTCTCTTATTAGAAATGTTCTTGAGTTCTTTGAGCTGTTGCTTTCAGGTGCTGAGGGATTTGCTACAAGAAGAAAAAGTTATTTTTGTTACAGTTACTACTTTTTGGAGTAAAAACTGATTTAAAAGAGCTTTGTCACATACATACATACACATACAGACAACTTTTTGTTGTTGCAACTGATAAAAGCAGCAATACTATAACCAAAATCCGTAAATTTCATATTGTGAACAAGTGATGCCGTAAAACATAATCAATGAAGTAGCTGCACTGTAACAACTCTCGCACACATAATCGTCCCCTATTAGCCATGGTCCTATGCTCCACATTCAAAAGGTCCATCTCAAGCTGTATTAAGTGCATAAAATCTATTATGTCCAGTCATTGCCTCTCTTAGCTGTGGGGATAATCTGATGTGTCACTGATTTCTCTGATGTAGCAGAGAAACAGATCAATACAGCTTTAAGAGGCAGGCAGGAGGTGAACTGGGCTCGTAGACAATATAATGGAGTCACACAACGATTTTGAGTGTCACTAATGGGTGTATGCCTGCAGAGCTTCAGTGATATGTAGGCTTTTAATGGACTGAGAAGAGGCACTTGGATTTCTGTTTGTCATCTAAAGAAGTGATCTGATAACATGGCTGCTATTACTAACAATGGTTAAGTTGACAGTGAAGGATGTAAGAACAGAGAGCAGCATCTGAGGGCTTAAAAATAGAAAATGATTAAATGAAAAGTTTATCTGATTCAATTAAGTGATTTTAGTTTGTCTTTAATTGTCAAAAGCACTAATCGCAGTGTGAAGTAGGTCTATCACAATAATTGCTATATTGATTGTTCAATATGGTATTTTTGGGAGTCAATATTGATCATGTGTACTTTTTCTTTGCGCAACTGGGACATTTTTTGTTTTTGTTTTTTTGTCAGTTTGATAAGATTTTAGCTGTGGAGAGTTGAATTAACAACTTGACTTATTACAGATGCAAGCTAAGTACCAAAATGTTTCATTCTGCTGTTTCTTTATTGCAGCTCATAATTTTTTTTTTAACAATATTGTAGATTTAGAATAATTTTGTGGCATAAATCTGTTCTTGTGTCAGTGCATTAGTTCCAATATTATCTTTTATTGTCTATATACTTCTGCAATATATCGTGCTTCAAATTTATTTATTTATTTTTGTCATGACAGGAATAGTGTGAAGCTATTCTAGTTGATTTTTTATGTTAATATTATCTGGTATTTATATTTGTATGTCTTTTGTGCTTTCAGGATGAATGGAGCTCCAGTGACTCACTCAGTAAAAACAAAATGCACAATTCAGACGATAAGACTCATGTGCTTGAAACGCTACCACCAGGTATGGCTTCATCTTCTGCGATACTCAAAAAAAAAATTTACATTTGATGCCTAATTTGTAACTTTGCGATCATGTAATTTTCCTCTGGATTTTCCTCTATTTGGTATTTATCCATTAATCAAAGATACTAGGTGACTAAGTATTGATACTGCAATATATCATATAAATAAGGCAAATTGGACCTTGCCAGATTAGTTTTAGAATGGTCTAGAGCTATATCATAATTGGTTTTAGACGGCATGGTGGTCATATCCCAGTTTCTCAAAAGTGTACCAAGTAAGTACGCAAGCGAGCACATAATGCCGGTATACTTTGTATACACTACCAGTCCAAAGTTTGGACACACTTTTTCACTTTTGTTTGTGCTTTGTTTTCATGATTATTCACATAGTAGATGCTCACTGAATGCATCAAAACAATGAATGGACACATATGGAATGTAGCAAACGAAGGATAAAGTTTTTCAGCTCCATCGACAAAAAAAAGGTGGCTATTTAATGGATTTAAATATAAAATATTTAAAAAGCAATTATATTCCTCTTTCTTTGCTACATAATTCCATATATCTTGCATGTTATATTTGAATGTAGAAAGTAGTAAACATATATAGGAAATTAAAGCTGCCCATAAAAGAAATGAAAGCTGCCCATGGCAGTGGTGGTCCTCACCCTGGCATGCACTCCCCACCTAAGCATGCCATTGTCCCTTCCAACGAATCCTCCATCAGAAAAATTACAGCGTAATCAACCTTGAAAAATGCCCCATGTCCATAAAAAAAATATTTTTTCTTGTGGTCATGTGTAGAATTTAATCCCCAAATCATCATCATAGGGGTATGCGCCAATTAAATTTTTGGCTTGTCTTATTGTTCTCTATCATGGGTTCGAATTTTGTTTCCTTACGCGAAACTTTGGTTGTCCCCACTTCCATAGGCACTTCTAAGCGGCGCTGTTGCGTCAGGTCACTTTGGGCCTTGTCATGATGCCCATTTCACCGGACTGGTCAAGTCCCCTTTTGGGGACTTTTCGTCGATGTATTGGCCCTCAAAATCACGATCGTTTGGAAGGAAAAATAATAATAGAGAAGAGTTAGAGTTACTTTGTTACTGGCTCATGCCGAAAATACATTGAATAAGAGGATGTGTCCAAACTTTTGACTAGTAGTGTATATTTGCATTAGTGCCAAAGTGTCAAAATACGTAGTGGTAGTAGTCCTATAGTAAACTCCATTCTCCTTTACTGTCTCCACAGCATTTGGTTTAGCACTTCTTTTAAAAATTGAGACCAGTTTTACAATGGGAATTTTGGGTACTTATACTATTTAATTCATTATTTAATTATGAAGTATACGGCAATACTGATAAAATAGTATCTGATGTATTTTTTTACAACCTTAAAACATAATATTTTTCAAAAGTGAAGGAAATTAATAGGTTGCAGCATCTGGAGCTTCTGTGTATGTTGTGGAGACTGGCAAATATTTCTCAGACAGTGGTGTTAAAAATCGTCCGTCTTTGAGCCTTGACTTTTTCATTCCCGTCTGGTCCTCGCTCCGAGACTGCCCCTCCCTTATGAGTCTGTGACCTGTGAAAGCTGAACACTCTTATCTGATCCACTGCTGCAATACAAATCCAAATGTTGAAGAAGGTTATTTCACTGGAGGCTGACTTTTCCCTATCTCTTTACCTCATCTCTTCTTTTATGCTGTCATACCCAGAGCTTGGAGCAAAATGTTGAGAGCGATAGAAGCGGAAGAGCGACCAAAAGGCAATACAAAGGAGTGAACAATAAAAGATTAAAAAGATATGAAAAAGTAAAAGTAAATGAGTAGCACAGATGAAAGCGAATATTAGTTCAGGGACGGCATCTGACATCAAATCCTGAGTTACTGACAGAACTATATAATATAGTAAACAAGAGTATTAGAGAAACTATCGATCCACAATGGAAATTATTTAGACACAGTTACAACATAATACCAAAGAATAGGTGTTCATACAATTAAAAATATTTAGAAAAACATTTGATGTCTGAAGTATAAATGCTGTTGATAAAATAAAACTGCCACATTTGAAGTATCTGATCCACAAATTTGTGCAGTGATATGGCAAGAGTCTTCGCTGGGTACAATTACAGGGCCAGTAAAATCAGATAACCCAATAATTAGTCAGATTTTTGGTTTGTTCACATATACGAAGAAATTGGATTATCAAAACCACCCAGTGACATGTGTCAGTTAATCAGTGGATTTGTAGTGACTCTTGAATTTGTCAAAACCTGCACCGGCGTAACACAGTGGCTCTGTTTGCGTACACATAATAATTTGATTATTATCTGAATCTGGATTATTTAAATGACATGAAAACCACAAAATCCGATGTGAGAAATCAAGGGGCCCATGATCAGAAAGAAATTAGATGATTTTGCTGTTTACATGCCATTTTATAATAGACCTACACCTCCAAAAATCTAATGATAATCTCCATTTTGTAGTTCAGAAATCCCATTACTCCCATCAAAATGTAGCTGTTTACATGACATTTCTCTAGATTTTGGTGTGTATGTAACCATAGCCATGGTTAAAGTTGACCTCCTGTTTACGGCAAAAGTTTGTTAAAGTAGGAAAACATCAGACCCCCTGAGCCACATGCAGCAGAGGCTCAGCTCTTGGTAACAGGCAGCTCATTGGGGTCGGCTAATTAGCATGCCAGACACATTGGCTTTCTGTCAGCGAGACGCGTGCACCGAGGCTAGCTCCCTCCAAGTCGTCAGGCTCAGTTTCTCTCGTCTATCAGTCTCCTGGCTGTCGCACACACAGAAACTGTAATCTCACAATACCATATGCTTAACACAACTCATTAGCATAGCAACAGCAAACCACTAATTAGTTTATTATTATGCAAGTATCTGTGTAGTCAAAGATAAACTGCCAAATTAAACATAATGGCTACTTTCTCCATTTAGTGTTTTATAGTGGGACTGACAGATGGACAATGGTTTGACAGTGAAAGAATAAATGTTGTTTATGGTTTAGTTTAATGAACAAAATGCAAAGTTATATTCTGACTGCAGTGAGAAATAAATATTCCATGTTGGTCACATGACCTCCACAGTTTAGAGCATAAATCTCATGTCATGTTGCCTTGTTGCCGCCGTCGAGCAGCTGCTCGGAGCATGAGGTTTCCTTCCTGTCAGTCGTGAAGAGCACTTGCTGCTGCTGCTGCATACATTTTATATTCACACTTATGTTTAATCCCATTCATCTTCAAATTTCCTTTTCTTTCACTCTGAGTCACCATCTTTGTAGATCATTTTACAAGCATTTTCACTGAAGATTGTTGAAAATATTAATTATTTTAACTCTCTGGACATTTTTGGTAAATCTTCAATTGAATATTTATGTATTATTCCATTATTTTTTTTCTCAAGTAGACAAATCTGGGGTTCTGAAGATTCTGGATCCTAACCCACTATTTACAAAAAAACAGGAACAGTTTCTTCCCCTCTGTTGTTGGACACCTCATAACATCTGTCATGTTAATCGAATGACTCTTTTCAATAATACGTCTTTTTGCCTTGCTACTTTGGCACTGTTCATATATTATATCTACAGTTCAGTCCAAGTCTATTTTTTTTAACACATTGTTGTTTACATGCCTTTACTTTAGATTTACTTGAACCTACCTTTTACTTTGTGAAATTTGTTCACTTACAACATGCAAACTTTTTCTGATTTGTATGTAGCTGACTATATCTAGTAGGGTTCATAAAATTTTGCCCTCTTAAAATCCCATTTCCATCCACCGCTGTGGGAAATCTCTGCATAAGTATCTGTATCCTTCTCTCCATGAGCTCCTGTGTGTATTTCTCTCATGTCTTACTCTGTCTGTCCAGGTAAAGTGCGATGGCAGGACTTCGATCAGGACTTATATGTTGGAGCCACGGTGGTTCGGCCAGGGCAGGACCCCTACGCGAGAAACAAGTTCAACCAAGTAGAAAGTGACAAACTGCGCATGGACAGAGCAGTGCCTGACACGAGACATGACCAGTGAGTATGGGCCCAACATTCACAGTCTTGTTTTAGTACTGAATTGTTAAAGGATTTAACTATAAGGCTTTCTATTTATAACACTTTCCATTTGATGCTTGTGTGCATGGGCTGTTTGATTGTCTGCCTATCGGTGTAATTAGTGCCCCTATAGATAAGATCTCTTGGAAACACCCCCCATTGTTGTCTATCTGATGAAAACCAGGAAGTAGCAGAGCAGACACCCACTGAGTAGTACATTGTCTGGTCTATTCATAACTCTTAACTGCTTGTTGTGCGTTTTGATTGTTCCGCCAGTTAAAGGGACGAGGAGACATAAATGAGCCGTGACTTAGCAGTTGGTAATCTCTTCATTAGGGGCTTGTTTTATTCAATAGCATACTTTCAGAATATATGTCCCACACAACTGTTATTCATGCTAAATGTTTGAGTACAGTTGGCCTTTTCATACATATTTCTTCCTGCAGTATATGGTTCTTAATATGTGCCAGGCCAAGTATAGTTTGACATCTCATTTTGCCAAGGATTTTTACAATATTGCTTACAAGTCAGGTGACTGGTCCATGCACAGACACATTTATTGACAGAGCAAAAAGACTGAAGTGTCTTACACAAGACTGATCTGAGGATTGTTAGTTGAAGCCTTGAAGAGGCTTGAAAAGCGCTATATAAAAATGTGACCAAATGTGACCACTGATGGAGGTTTACAGTAGACGCCTACATACATTTTACTTCCTCCGTAAAAGCTATCTCGCTATTTTGTAACATTTGCTTGTTTTTAATGTTGCAGAACAATAGTGAAATGTGTGTAAATGTATCTTATTAAATGACTGATTGTAAACTTCCTTTTGCAAACTGGCTAATCAGTAGAAATATTGGCACCAGATTTTGGCAGACCTTCACAACTGTGGAAGTTGACTGCTGAAGCATGATTGAAGAGTCTATGTAACAAACACAGCTGGAAGAGAGAGAAATTAAATCTGTTAAGTGACTCACTCATTTGACACCTGACCACAGTTACACTATTATTTGAACTGCTGCATTAGTGGACTGGGGTTCAGAGATGGTCTTTGTAAAAGTAGTGGCCAGTTGATTTATTGACCTGACAGCTAGAGGCATTAGTCCACTAAAAGAGGAGATGTGCCTCCTATTGATTTTGCAGTGATGTGTCATTTGGGCTGTAGAATAGCAGAGCACAGGGTGATTTTAGGTATTAAAGGGCATATATTATGTTATTTTCTGATCTGTTATAATGTTTTGTTTTATATACATGTTTAATACACAAACCGCTTCATGACATCACAAGGTGGAACAGAGTATTTTGAGCTTTGGAGATGTAGACAGACTAATAATAAAGGCTTACTCAAACATGTGTGAATGAAACAAAACACAACTCCAGGTTTTTTTTTTTTTTTTTTTTTTGAGCTATCATTATAACATGGCTTAAGGCTCAAACAATTTTAAGTTATGTAGGCTCTTAAAAGTTTCATGCAACTAAAGTGCTTATAAAATCATAGACTATAAACATAAATATAAGAGTGTTATTATTGTATAGTTGTATACCTCTTTGCTGAATGCAGAGATGTGGTATTTAAAGTGTGTCAATCACAAGATGCATTGGACCATTACTGTCTTTTTCTATTATGGCTTGCTAACTCTATTTCATATTCCAGTTGTTGGTATTTCACAAACTCAAACTCCCACAGACATTTTCCCAGCTTCATATTTGTGTATTTTCTGTGTTTAGTTGCAGACATAAACAGTGGAAAACTGACTTGCCAGCTTCCAGTGTTGTCATCACTTTTCACAATGAGGCTCGCTCGGCTCTGCTACGGACAGTGGTCAGGTGGGTTTCAGACATTTTGAAATCACATTTTTGCTGTGCACTTCTATAAATATTTTTCCATTTCTTTCTAGTGTCTTGAAGAAAAGTCCATCCCCTTTGGTCAAAGAAATCATTTTGGTAGATGATTACAGCGATAACCGTAAGTGTTATTTAGAACTCTCTCACTGCTCTACTTGTAACTTTGTAGCCCACAAAGTGTCAAAAGTGATTACTTGTTTTTTAACATTCATACTTTTTGATTATTTTTAGCTGAAGATGGAGCACTGCTGGGCAAGATTGAGAAAGTGCGTGTATTGAGGAACGACCGCAGAGAAGGTAATTTGCCAAAGACAAAAAGAAAAGTCGACTTGCTTTTTTTTTTTTTCAAGAAAAAAAATTGGTTTAGCTCCTCTGGCTTAAATTACTTTCTTGACATTTTTCAGGGCTGATGCGTTCCAGGGTCCGAGGAGCAGACGCTGCGACTGCCCCAGTCCTCACTTTCTTGGACTCTCACTGTGAATGTAACGACCACTGGTTAGAGCCACTGCTGGAGAGAGTGGCTGAGGTACACTGCACTAAATAACCCAACCAAGTAGTATTATACTGTATTGTAGTTAGCATTACACTGCATATAATTGCCATGTACTATGTTACTTTTTTGGTGCAGAGTCCACCACCTGCTTGTCCCCATAGAGATTATTTCTCTGCCTAGAATGTTCCACTGTATGGCATTATACTTGCCTACCTTCACTTCTATTAAACAGGACATTTTTCTTGCTGAAAAATATCATGCAAAAATCTTGCATTATTATTCTGTGAGTAAGTACATATATTTATAGAGCACCTTTCATAGATAAAAGTCACAAAGTGCTTTACAGAGTGCAATGGATGGGCCTGGTATAACTGGCTTGTCTGCATAGTTAAGTTTAATATCATACTGTGGAACATTCCTAGAAAAACAAAAGCATCTCTTGGGAACAAGGAAGTGACAGGCCCTCTTCTAGAGAGTTGCACTGTGCACATTTAATGCATGTTAAAAATGTAACAACATTCAGTTTCCTTAATTTAATAGCACTTCCTATTTTGTTTTTGTTTATTCTTTGCAGGACAAAACTCGAGTAGTTTCCCCTATTATAGATGTCATTAACATGGACAATTTCCAGTACGTGGGAGCTTCTGCAGATCTAAAAGGAGGTATATTACTTATTTTGAACTGTAATGAATTTTCTTTTTTCCCCTAAAAATAAATTGCGTATCTAAGAGAAAAATTTTTGTAGTTAGTCATTGCTAGCTCTCATTTGATTTCTGTTTTTATTTGCAGGATTTGACTGGAATTTGGTCTTTAAATGGGACTACATGACACTGGAGCAGAGAAGAGCTCGACAAGGCAATCCCATTGCCCCAATAAAGTATGTCTTAAGATACTTTTCTCTCAAAGGCACATGAAAATTACACTTTTAAGCAGTTGTTGATCTCCCTCTTTTCTCTCCTTCTTTTCAGGACTCCTATGATAGCGGGGGGTCTCTTTGTCATGGATAAGGAGTACTTTGAGCAGCTGGGAAAGTATGATATGATGATGGATGTCTGGGGAGGAGAGAACTTAGGTGAGCGATACTGTTGCACACAAAAGCAGATCAAGCTGACACTGAGAATGACAAAGACTGAAATGAACTAGTGAAGTTTGTTAAAGGGACAAGTAACAAAGAAAATACATGGCCATTGTCAGCATTTACAATCGTCATGGTGATGTGTTTCATTTGCTGACTTAAATCATAAATGCGGTTTCTTACCTTCATAAACTTTGTACTTTTAGCTCACACAACAATTCTTGCTGACTTTGGAAATCTCAACAGTCTTTCCCTTGAGATTTAGTAGCAAGTGTCTTAAAGGATTTCATTCAAATGAATGTCTTGCCTAGTTGAAAAGGAAAAATGCATCTTGCATTATATTGTGCTAATTAAATCTAATCAAACAAGCATCACAGGGTATTGAAAACAGATCAACATAAATGGCGTTTAAATGTGATAATGAGGTTTGTGGCATTCAGGCTAAATAAGTAATAATACGCTATTACAGCAATCACCTAACTGTCTCCCTGTTTTTATTTTTACACATTTTGGGAATTCTTGTCAATGTACAGATGACTCAGTGATTGATTTTAATTGCTTCACTCCATATTTGGATTTCAAATTGGCTGTGTACCTGTATCTTGTACTTATACTGAAGAGGCATCCCAATCATATGATGAGTCCTGTCACGATAATTACAATATCAGTTTTCACAACTGCTCCACTGTGCTTTTAAACTTAGATACATGTTCACCATAATTATTTAGATAATTTCAGAACTGGAATTGCCCATTTAAACAAAAGGTAAAATACAGCTGTTAACTTGAAAACTACTGCTTCATAACATTTCAAGGAACAGAGCATTTTGAGCTTTGAAGATGCAGACAGCCTAATAGGATTACTCAAAAATATGTGAATGAAACAAAACGCAACTCCATGTCTGTTTTTTTTTTTTTAGGAGGTAGCCACATTCTTACATGGGCTAAAGTTCACAAGAATGAATTTTGCACAATATAGGACCATTAAACTCATAAAAAGGAACAGATAATAAGTGTGGTTTTGTGTTGGTTTGTTTCAGAGATCTCATTTCGAGTGTGGCAGTGCGGCGGTAGCTTGGAGATCATCCCCTGCAGTCGAGTGGGGCATGTCTTCAGGAAACAGCACCCGTACACGTTTCCAGGAGGCAGTGGCACTGTGTTTGCAAGGTAATGTCCACATCTAATATAAACAAGCACAAAGGATGTTGTTCTTTACAAAGCAATCATAACATTTAGCCCATCTGTCTGTTTACATAAGTCTTGTCATAACACATGCTTTCACATTCATAATAATACTGTACAAAAGACTGGCACATATCTCTGATGATGCAAACAAACATTATTTCAGTAATTAACTTAGTACTCAGTAGTCGTTGCCTTTAAAGATGCACTATGTAACTTTCTGGTGAAGTCCCCTTTACCTGCTTGTCTTCTTGGAAATGTTATTAATGTTGTTGTTTTGGCTAAAATGTCCCACAGTATGGCATTAAATATATTTATTTCCATAGTTAGAACCCTTAAATGCCACCAGGACCCCCTCCAGAAAAGTTGCACAGTGCAGCTTTAATTTGATGTTGTATAAACATATAAATAGGAGCTAAATTGGAGTAATGAACAATTTGTGTCTGAAGTCTGATCCAGAACATACATTAGTGATTTGTTATTGCGCTGAGATTTGTTAAATGATTCCGGCAAAACAGAGCCAATTGAAAAGCAATTACACAGCAAAATTAGGGCGATGAAGGTTTCTGTAGATTTACGACGTGTAATCACAAGCATAAAACATGGAAGGATTGGAATCTGTTCTTTGAAATACACAACCACCACCCTGGATCTGTGCCCAGCAAAACCCGTGCTCCAAATGAACGCATTACGATAGATCCTGAGACAGACTAGAACCTCCCTTAGATATTCTAAGACATATTGTTGCGCTGAATAAAATGAATGTGTTTTATAAGCAAGAGTGAAACAAACGCTCTTTATACATTGGCAGTTTCACTTATAGTCAGTTTGCTCGTCAGTGTGAAGGCAGATTCACTCCCTAGGGCTGTTGGCAGAAACCCCAGGGAGCGAAGATATGGCACCGTTCTGCTTCGATGCTTTTGTAATAATTCTTCTGGGAGCTAAACTTTAAAACATTTGATAGTTACCTTAAAAATCTTCAAGGATCTGTGTAATATTTAAAGTTGCAGTCAGTTGTGGTATAGTAAACTGATGCTTTGTTTGAGGTGGGCTACATTTACCTGAGTTTCTTTTTGAAAAATGCTACTCCAATTCTACTCCAATGCTACTTCAACTTGGTAGTCATGTATTTTGCAATGTGACAGTAATCTAACTTGAATAATAAAAATATGTTGCTTTTCCTAATGAGTTTACAAGACAAAATCTTTACTAGTGTGCTGACGATTTTAAATCATTTGAAAATCTTATTTCTTGCACCACTCCGTCAGATATGAATTTAGATTTTTACATTTTGAAATAATCAGATTTTGTGCATTATTTAATGCTCTGTCCTCCCAATAACATTAACTTAATATTCACGGTATGTTTTGACGGTTACTCTCATTTCTAATTACTTACTTAAGAATTACTTTGTACTTTTACTTAGTAAATGTCATTCTTACTTGAAAGACTACTCTACCCACCTCTTTTCTTTGTTTACAGATCAATTTCAGGATATCCTATTTGCTTTGTAATCATTTATTATTGGCTATTAGTGTAATACAAAAGACAAACACATCACACCTCAAGCTAAAAACAATGAATCATTTAAACATGTTGTACAGTAATCACCATGTGGCATCTTCATGTGAAATTTTTATTATTGAAAACAGTTAATGGCTCTTTGTTACTGTCAGGAACACGAGAAGAGCTGCCGAGGTCTGGATGGATGAATTTAAAAATTTCTACTATGCTGCTGTTCCCTCTGCCAGAAATGTTCCCTATGGAAAGTAAGCACTATCACATTTCCTAACTAAACAAAAACACATAATGTATAATTAGGGAATTCAATTGAATTAAACATAAATGTGCAATATATCAGCCCCTAAGTGTATTAATAACACTATCAGTTAATCATATAAATTACTTGTTATTTTTTAGAAGATACAGTGAAAGGGCCACCTCAGTTTGTACACATCTCCCTCTAGTGTTAGACATAAATAATACATGTTTGCAATGAATACCATTAGGTTTTAAAACTGTGATTTCTAATTATTACTCTGCAGGATTTCAGAATTGTTAAAAATAATAAATTATTTAAACTAAATGTGATATCTTCTGAACGGTGAAAAGCCCTCAAAATGTCACAGAACAGGAAGCTGAAATCCATGAATTAATAATAAATTTCTGTCTTGTAGCATACAGAGTCGCCTGGAGATGAAAAAGAGATTGGGCTGCAAACCCTTCAAGTGGTATCTTGAGAATGTCTACCCAGAACTACGGTAAGAATTTTCCTAAAATCACAGCCAGTTGACTGCCAAAACATTTAATTATCTTGTATTTGTGTTATTTTTTTCTTAAACACTGAGGTCAATTGATTGTATATTGATTTTGTTTTTCAGGGTCCCAGATCATCAGGACATTGCTTTTGGGGCATTGCAGCAAGGAGGAAACTGTCTGGACACTCTTGGCCATTTCGCTGATGGTGTTGTTGGCGTTTATGAGTGCCACAACGCAGGTGGCAATCAGGTAAACCCATTCTCCAAACTCGCTCATCTGATTACATGTCTGGTGACTCCTTTAGTGAATGTAATGTATCAGTTGTTATTGTATCTCTTAGTTTAATATAGTATCCTGAGGACTTTACAATTTCAATTATATTTAAACAAAAAGTATATGCCTAAATGTAAATACTATTTACTATTCAAACAAAATTTATGACAAAACCAAGAATAAATGAAGGTTAAATTAAATTTTCATAAAAACATTAAATTATGTCAAAAACATTTGATATTTCCAGATTAGATTAAGAACCTTGGTGTTTTTGCGATTATATTAAGTTGCAATATTGATTATTGCATTTGTCAACATTGTTATCTATTGTGCAGCCCTACTCCCCACTCTAAATGTGGAGCTGTGTTTCGTATATTTTAATTTATTTGTACTTTTGCTAAAACACCAAAACACTTTTCCATGTACTTATTGTTCAGGAATGGGCTTTAACCAAGGACAAGTCTGTGAAGCATATGGACCTGTGTCTAACTGTGGTGGACAGAACTGCAGGCTCGTTAATAAAGCTCCAGGGATGTCGAGAGAATGACAGCCGTCAGGTAACACCTCAGATCAATTTAAACATTTTAAATCCCATAAAAATATAATAATTGTTCATTCTTTGTCTAGAAATGGGAGCAGATTGAGTCAAATTCAAAGCTCCGTCATGTAGGCAGTAACCTGTGCTTGGACAGCCGCAGTGCCAGGATGGGAGGACTCACCGTGGAGGTCTGCGGGCCCAGCCTCACCCAACAGTGGAAGTTCACTCTGAATTTACAATCGTAGGGCTGGAGAGAATTATAGATTTTACAGGGAAAACTGGACAGTAATGCCAGCACTAAAGAGGGATAAAGACTCAAACTGTTGACTTTCACCTCCGTGGGGGTTGGACTGAGACAGGGCCCCAATAGGGTCCCAAAGGGCCACCCGGAAGCCCACAGGAGGATTAATTATGGGATCATGGATAAAAAAGTGTTGTGGAAGACAATGATGTGGACAATGGAGATGCTTGCCATCCAAACTACATACCTCAGTGTCTTCATAGGTGGTTGAAAAGGAAATTATGAGTAAATATTTTGTTTTTACTTTTTTTTCCAAGAAATTAGCTTTTTACTTTGTTTTTTTATTTCATGTTAGTACAAAATGTTTTTTTCTAATTTCAAACATATACTTTTTCATCTGTCTGTACAATACTACAGTACTTATTCAGGGCACACGAGAGAGTGCAAAATGGGCTTCAAAGTGGAAATGGGCTTTGTTCTTTGTTCTTTACACAATCATGAACAGTGTCCTTCCGCAGGAGTGTGCTGGCAGCCCTCAGTGTGGGCCCAAAGTCGGTACAGGACACAGTCTCCAAAACCTGAAAACATCTTGATTTAAACTACTTTTGTTTTTCTTTGAGTTATGTCTGTGGCACTGGCTGCTACAGTACCATAATTTCATCATTGTATTTCTGTATAAGTGTAGGCAATCAATAATCGCCATAATATCAGGTCATAATATAACCATAAAGACAAAAAAATCATGATCATGATGTTTTTAAAAGCAAAATCATTATGTACTTTAAGTACAATTTTCTTTTTTTTCATTTGGTCATTTATGTCCCATTAATAACATGACTTTGCCATTCAGTAATTTTGATTTTGTAAAGATGGCTACATACTAGAAGAATGGTGGTGATCTATTTGGCAATGTGAGTGAAAGAAAATTAAGGATTTCTTTTGTTTGATCATGGTGTTATTGATTGTGAATAATGGTAAAAGCGTGTTTCTTGACACAAACCTTAACACTATAATTTGATAAAATGACAGGACATCCTTATTTAATTAAAAGACAAAATATGTTTTGTTTTGTTGTACTAAAGACAAAACTAAACTAAAAATTGGTGGTGTAAGATTCAAACAAGTTGCAAACACTGTCCCCCAAAAATGCTTCTATAAAAACATTTTACATGTGACATGTGACAAATTTGATAAATGTAGCAGCATAGCATTGATACAAAACTGTTGTACCATGATTTAGAATCCTCACCTGCTCTCGCTGTTGCTCGTCTCAGTAACTCAGTGATAATGTAAAGGGGAGGACAGAAGAGTGTTTAGTTGCAAAGTTAAACTTTGCTTTCTTCAGCTTACAGTATAACCTGTCAGCATGCATTTCTTTTCTAAATGCATGTTTCAACCCCATGTGATTCCATCATTCCTGCTTGATGAGCCTTCTGTTTGCAAACAGCATCAAACATGATTTTACTGTCTGCTTCAAATCTTGTTTTTGCACAAGCGGCTGCTGAGTTATACGGACATTCAAATGCACACTTTTTTGGGGCAGACACTTGTGTTCACCACCAACAGCATAGTGCCATTTCATGACTAGGCCTGTTTGACATTACTTTAATTGTGTCTTACTTCAGCTTTGCAGCAAAACAACATCTGTACATTGTTTTACTTCACTAAACTGTTTCTGAACAGGGCTAGGCCCTTTACTGACAAGGACAGCTGGTCATGTTTGTAGCTGTCTGATGGCTCAGGTTGGTGAGTGTTCCTTTCACCCAGGTCTTTTGTAAACAGTGTCCCAAATGGAGAATCTGATTGGAGCCTATCCTGTGACTTGACAGGTGTGCTGTGCTGCAGTCTGTGGCCATAGTGACTCTCATGAGGTGTTATGTTGCCATGGTGACTGGGCTCTAAACCTAAAACTTTAGGGGCAGTGGGAAAGGTACTTAAAACTGAAGACTTATTATTGAATCATGTAATAAACATCAGGACCATGTCATTGCAGCAGTTACTTTAAAGATTACATTAGTAGGTTTTCTTTATTATGCTACTCTGTAATTAAGTCCTATTGGAAAACTGATGTCTTGGCAGTCTTCACTGTGAAAAACTCCATAGTTTGATTTATATTCCTGGGAATATAAATGTGGGTTCAGGACTGTTCTTGTAATGGAAAAAATGGTAAATATGGTAAATATTCTTTTTGTCATTGTTCACTTTGAGATTCCTGATCATAAACATAGCCTATTATTTTCTGAGTAGCCATGGCAATACAGTTTTCAAAACATTTAAAGCCTTTTGTTCTGAAAAAGTCTTATCTTTGTGAAATATGTTTTATTTAAAATGTACAAGAAGAGTGACTGTAATAACTTACTGAGGGCCTCATTTTGATTCACTAATTAAATGTTTACATCTTTTAAAAAATGTGCCAAAGTTTTCTCCCATTTCTTTTGACTGCATCATTGTCAGATCCATCAAGTTTCCTGCAAAACAAATTGTCACTAAACATATAACAGTGAACAGACAGACAGCATCAACAGCAAAAAATACATTTTGTGTAAGGGAGCATCTTTTTTTCTACTTGTTTTTACTTCCTTTTTTGTTTGTTTGTTTGTTTGTTTTCCTGGCTTTAAGTTTACATGTTTTAAGCTGTTTTATGATTAAGATGAAGGGATTTGTCCCAACAAATTAACCATTAATTGCCCAACGCAGATTTCCATTTTCAATTATTGAGGGACTGCTCAACCATCTATAAATGATCAGAAAGTTGTTGAGTAAATGTAATCTTGAGGAAATCATGTAGCCTAGGCAAAATGGTGGGAAGGAAATTAAACTAATGCATTTAAGGGATGAGGCCTTGTTTCTGGTGTCTAACATAAATAGATCTCATGTATATTTTTGTAGATACCTACATGATGTGTGTACATTATGTACATATAAACACTGTGTATTCAGCTGCAGTTTCTAGTTTTGTTGTCACATTGTACAGCGCTTCTAACTGTTTCATGTTTTATAGAAACTGCAGAAATGCAACTTTGAAAAAAAAAAAAAGATTAACTTAAATAAATGCATTTATATGAAAAACTATCTGTCATCTGTTACCCCTCAAAACGTACCCTATTTTGTTCCCTTGTTGCGGCTTTCAATTCTGCATTTTAGTTCTTAGTGAATTAACAGCGGACCTAAGGCATGGATCACCTCATTTCCCAGCACATGAAGCTCTCGTAAGCGGGAAGTTGATTAAGTAAGTTGACTGGCCCCAAATAAACCGTGGTGTTCCTGTCCTATCCAGCAGACGGCGCTATATTATAACTATGCACGCATACAGTGAGGAAGTAGCCTGGCCATAAGCTCATTTCTGTGCCCAGCTAAGGCTCGTGCTCAGGCTCAGAGGATCAGGGGCCGCTCGGGGGTCTGAAGAACAGAGAGAAGGGAATAGCCGCGACGATGGAGGGAATAGATGGGACCGAGAGGTTTGACAGCCCGGGAAAGGGTAGAGGCCTGCGGGCACTGCGACATTTTGCCGTGGGTGAGCTGGTCTTCGCCTGCCCTGCCTACTCCTATGTGTTGACAGTGAATGAAAGGGGAGCACATTGTGAACACTGTTTCACCAGGTAATGCACTGTCTCTGACCAGTTACGCGATATCGAGAAGCTAATTTCCCCAGTATTTCACTCTAAATAACACGTAAAGTCGGACTCTGCTTAGCCATGGTCCTGCCTGATTTGTGTCATGTGGACTAAACGGGTCATTGCAGCCACAGAGCTCACCACACTGCAGCATTTGATCTGCTGCCGTGCTGAAAAAGTTCAACAAACAGCATATGGCACGTAAGATGTAATTTGTTAGTGGACCCATGCAATTAAATATTTTTTTCTGCTTAATTCACCCCATTTGACTTCATTGTTTTTATCTGGTAGCTTCATGCTTACACAACATAGCATCAACATTACAGTGCACAGTTAACTATTAGGTTATTGGGTAATTAGGACATACTGTATGTAACATGTATTGTACAAACTTTCATCTGAACACAATCTGAGCACCATCACTTCATCACTTTAAACCTTGTGGGATTAAATGTTGTCCAGTTGGCCTAAGATGCATAAATAACGATTTTGCTTTGTTACCTCTTTTTGTCTTGTATTATATTCTGTCATTGATGCTTAAATGTGTGTGTCCACGTGGGTGCCCAGTGGGTTTGTAGAGCAGTGAAAGGTTAGGGTCCTAAAAATAGCCATCCATGTGTCCGAGAACAGGGTTGCCAAAATCTCAGGCAAACAAGGAGCCTAAGGACTGTATTCATTCAAGCACTTTATGTCCTAAGACTGTTTTTGTTGCCCCTTTTCTTATTGTTTCCCATCTGAATACAGTTTTAATGGCTGATACTAAATTACATGTAATTCATTCATACTTTCCTGCATTTGCATCTGCTCGATAATATGACATGCAAATTATTATCACAGGAGAGAGGACCTTTCCAAGTGTGGGAAATGCAAACAAGCATTTTACTGCAATGTCGACTGCCAGGTAATTTCATATTCTACAAACCCCATTGACAATTAACTATCAGTAATCACCACAGAATTATACTTTGAATGAGACTTTATACACTTATCAGTAAGAAACATCTTTAAGGGCCCATATTACACTATTTTCTGATCTCTCTTATAATGATTCCTCATCAAAAACATACCACTTGTTTTTGTTTCATTCACATATGTTTAAACAAAAAGTAAAAGTTAGCTGTTAACTTAAAAACTACTTATACTACTACTACTTATACTACTGCTGCTGCTACTACTGCTGCTGCTACTACTGCTGCTGCTGCTACTGCTACTGCTACTGCTACTACTACTACTACTACTACTACTACTACTACTACTACTACTACTACTACTACTACTACTGCTTCATGACATCACAAGGTGGAACAGAGCATTTTGATCTTTGGGGTTGTAAGCAGACTAATACTGCAGGGCTGCTCAAACATGTGTGAGTGAAAGCACAACTCTAGGTATGTTTTTGAGGAGGTAAGAATGTTCTAACATGGCTTAAAGCTCACAGGAGTCAATTTTGTGTAATATATAACCTTTTAAAAGAATGTTTTGTTAAAGTGGTCACCCATTAAACATATTCCACCAATTTTTAAGCATTTAGGAGTGGATGAAAAATTTCAAGGCTGTTGCTATGACAATGTGGTCCATCCACCCTCTCCCTAGTTTTGGGTACATAACAGATCAAACACCCAAAATAGTACTGACAGGTTCTGTGGTGGAAATATTCAAATACCTAAAGTATAATTTATACTATAAATACCATGTTATTATAATTGGTGTCTATTGTTGTTTATATTATTCTGTATTGTCTGTATTACAGAGAGGTGATTGGCCATTGCATAAAATGGAGTGTGTTGCCATGTGTGCCTATGGTGAAAACTGGTGCCCATCAGAAACTGTTCGATTAGTAGCAAGAATAATCCAAAAACAGGTGTGTGATTTAAAATATATATGCATACATACAATAAAAAGATGTTACATTAATGATGATGTTTGTTGATTTACAGAAAGGTACAGCAGAGCCCACACCTTCAGAAAAGGTCCTCCTGTTGAAGGAGTTTGAATCCCGTGAGTAGGTCTACACTGTGTATGTGTTGTTAAAAATGCATGTGGTTTTATTTTTGTTAATGTGGGCTTGTCTGTTGAAACTGCGTATCTAAAAATAGCTTTTGCTGTAGCCTCCAGTCCTGATTCTGTCCCTTACAGTTACTCCAATTCACAGTGGGAGACGAATCCCAATTGCCTGCATGCTGTAATTTCATTTCATATTCATTACTTTAAAACTCTGTGCCCTAGAAGAATTGTTTTAAATACACCCAGTTAAGAAAAAGAAATGACAGGAATGAGTTCTTTCCAGTCCCTCATCAGTTATTTGGTTGGTGTGTTTTATGCTTAAATTAGTCTGAACAAATGTCATCCGTGCATTGTGGCCGGTCTATGGCCACACCTGTTGCAAAATAATGTGTGAGCAGCTGCTGACCACTGCCACCTGTCTGCAACATGAGTGACAATGAGCGACATGGTTGACTGTAAAATCTAGACTCAAGTACCATTTATTAACTTTTATTAGAAATATAATTTTAAGTAAAATCCCAGAAATAATTTATAACAAATTAGTGTTTTTCTCAGATACCCACGATTACGAAACCCATCAAAGTAAAAATATAAGTGGTGTGCTTTCTGTGTGCAGAACCAGTCAAATGCAGCGTACTGTTGGTTATCGAGCCATGGTTGCATGGAATGCACTGCCAGTAATTTTGTTGTTTGAAAATAACAAAAAACTATTTTTAAAAAAAGTTAAAACTGTTCCTTTTTACACAATGATTAGTTGCTGTTGATTTATGTATTACTGTTATTGATATCTGTTTTAATTGTTTATTTTTACATTTTATTTATTACTTTTCCTGTACATTGAGCTTTCATGTCTTTTTATTGTGTGTTTGTCTGTCTCTGTGTGTCTCTGTGTGTGACGTTTATGTGTTGCACAACAATTTCTATGTAATGAATTTGAGGAGACCCCAGGAAGAATAGATACTGATGTTTCAGTAGCTAATGGGGATCTTAATAAACTAAACTAAACAATGACATATGCATTTGATTAGTTTGTATTTGTGTAAACATTTCATAATAAAATGTTTTGTGATGTCTCCTCAGATTTAGACAAAATGGACAGTGAGAAAGATGAGATGAACCAGGCAGACATCGCAGCGTTGCAACATTTTTATTCCAAACACCTTCATGATCTCCCTGGTGAACAGGCTCTCATTGAGCTCTTTGCACAGGTAAACGTTTTACTTTTTGGGTCTCACATTAAACAATATTATTTGTTATTCACATTTGTCAATTTCAGGTTAATTGTAATGGATTTACAATAGAAGATGAGGAACTGTCACATTTGGGATCAGCCGTTTTTCCTGAGTAAGTTCTTTGACATGATGACATATTTTTTCTTATTATAAACTTTATTGATGGCAAATAGTTTAATGTAGCTTGGTCTGGTGTGAAATCACAGAAAAAAAAAAAAAAGTGCAGTATTATTACTATACACATAGAAGGTTTAATACACTTACGACCAATATTTAAGTCATTTTTTGTAAGGTGTAGTTTGTTGTATAAATCCCAGCACCAGCTGAAAGAAAACATTGGGGTAGTTCTGATGTTTGGGCAGTTAATGCATATTTCCTTTTGATATTACATTTGATTGTATTAGCAACCAGATATGCCATGTGACATGCAAAAAAAGTGTTTATTTCTCACATTTTTGTACAATTAAGTAATTCCTGTATTTTGCCCCAATGTTCCACCATCCCATTGTATTAATTTATATCCTATTTGTGTATTCTGTGTTACAGTGTAGCACTTATGAATCACAGCTGCAGTCCTAATGTCATAGTCACGTATAAAGGCACTGTGGCTGAGGTGCGTGCAGTGAAGGAGATCAACCCTGGAGACGAGGTAAAAAATTTACCACATGCCTTTGTGGATTTAAATTGATCGTTTACATAATTAAACACTACTGCAATTCCCTGTATTACATTTACATTTAATTTTCTCTACAGATCTTTAACAGCTACATAGACCTACTCTATCCAACAGAGGACCGTAAAGAGAGGTTATTAGACTCGTACTTCTTCACCTGTGAATGTACAGAGTGCACCACCAAATCAAAGGTATGGTTGAGACACTAACATAACATAAATGTTTTATGTCAATATTCTGCTTAAGGAGCTATTAATGTTCTGATTTTGTGAAGGACAAAGCCAAAATGGCCATCAGAAAGTTGAGCACACGACCAGAGCCACAGGAAATTCTATCCATGGTCCGTTACGCAAAGAATGTCATTGAGGAGTTCAGGAGAGCTAAGCACTACAAGAATATCCTTTTTTGTAATGAGAGATGTTGTGTAATTTAAGTCAGTTTCGTCTGCCCACACTATTAACCCGTTAAACTGTGATCTGTTTTTTCTTTAACTTTTTGGCACCTCCGAGTGAGTTACTGGAGATGTGTGAACTCAGCTTGGAAAAGATGGGAGCCATATTTGCAGACACCAATGTGTATATGCTGCACATGATGTATCAGGCAATGGGAGTGTGTCTCTACATGCAGGATTGGGATGGAGCTATGAGCTACGGAGAGAAGATTGTTCACCCATACAGGTAAAACAATCGTAAAAAAAATGTAATGTGTGAACAAAATCGTGTCTAAAATATTTGTGTCCACAGTGTGCATTATCCTGCCTACTCCCTTAATGTTGCATCTATGTATCTCAAATTGGGACGTCTTTATTTGGGACTGGAAAAGAAATCTCAGGGAGTGAAAGCGTTGAAAAAGGTAAACACGGGTTGCTGTTTTGTTCATGATTAAATTGCATTATATAAATGAATATATTTTCTTTTTAGGCATTGGCCATTATGGAAGTTGCTCATGGTAAAGATCACCATTATGTAGCCGAAGTCAAACGGGAAATTCAGGAGCAGAAGTGATGGAGAGGTGATGGGGCATGAATGAACACCGGCTTTAAACACAAAACAGGAGCAGCTGCATGGCATGCATATGGCTGCTTTAACCCCCACTTACCACATCTACAATTTTGTCTTAATAGTTTTGAGTAATCTATTTTTAAGGATGTTCAAAAGAGCACCTTTGCTTCATTGTGTATTCTATCTCAATCTTTAAATTTTGCTACATGTAAAAATGGCACTCCAAAAATATTTTATGTTACATAAATCTCACTCTTTTCTGTTTGAAATGATAGACGTTTTGAAGTCTCTAGACAACAGACCAATTATGCCCTGTCAAGTAAATGCTCCGATGCAACTAATAATATGTTTTTGTACACAACTCCTAATTTTCCAAACATGTTAGTTTTCTCAATTTTCTGATTTGAATTTCAACTGTGAAAAAAAGTCAGCATCATGTACAAAGTAGCAACCAACCAAGCAAAGCTTGTGTAGAGAAAACCCAGTGACAGCTGTCACTTATGTTTGTCTTACTGTACTGTTTGTTGACTGTGTTATATTTATTACATGTCAGTCTGTTCTTACATTGATAGTCTTGAGTTATTGTTAAATGGACCCCAGTTTTGCCACTGGGAAGAAATCAACTGTTTGTCTTTTTAACTGTATTAATATTGGGTGCTGATATTTAGGCCACTTCATAAAAAAAATAGCTTTGTGAGTACTCATGCTCAAAAAGGCAAAGCACAGTAGCTTTTGTCTGTGTCATGGAAAGTCTTGTTTCGGAAGAACCTTTTCATTTCTAGGACTGGGATTATTATTTTTTTGTTTTGTTTTGTTTTATGGCCAATATAATGGGACAGGAATGGCCCTTTTTTTTCAAATGTATTGCTGTCTGAATGTAATTTTTTATTTGTATTTTATGTACATAAAGACACATTTAAAGGATCCCAAATGATCCCCAAATGATCAAAACAATCCCTTTAAACAATTATTTAATTTAAACAAATTATAATTCTGGTATTAGGGTTCTATGGATGCTTCTGAGACCTTATATCAAGCATTTGGTACTCAATCTTCACAAATAATTACCAATGGTATTTATTACCTGCTAGAATTGCAAGGAAAGAATATATTGTCTCAAATAAAATATGCACTACAGCAATGCCGCGTTTATGATCAGTATTGTGTGTTTTTATTGTAGCATCATACACTGCATGCCTTACAACTTTGAAAAGGGTTATCCAAAACATTGAGCAGACTGAAAATGTTTCTTTTGTAACTGCTTATAAATTCCAGCAAACTTGTTATCAGGCATGAATGATTGTTTAGGTTGGTTGCAATCCTTTAATTTGTTTTCTTGTTGATTAATTCAATAAAACACATAAATCTTATGTTCTTGTGTCCCATGGCCTCTGGTTAACTAGTACTTTAAAATTTTGACGCTTCTAACTTTGTCATTGCGATAGCTGTTTATAGAGGGCACTGTGGAGCCACTTACGTGCATGACGTGCCGATTAGACGGTCTCAACCAATCAAATGCTGCTCAGGACAACGTCACAAAAATTAGCCAATCACGAGGGAGGAAAATGCCTCACTGCCCTTCCCCCCAAATTTGAATTTCACACAGGAACCACGGATTTGTACCATAGATCCAAACAGAGGAGCATCGCGCCCAAAGTGAGTAATAAAGATCTACTCAAATTATCCAAAACTAGTCAATAACGATGTGTTACAAACATCAATCCTATTCTTTCTTCCGTTCTTTCTTTATTCCATTGAGTTTGATTAAAACAATGCTTTCCGAAATGTAACGTTAGCTTAGAGGTACTTAGTAAGATGAAGTTAGCTTTAACTAGCTGTGTTGCTTTTTGTTATGCACATCATCACTGTAGTTATTATTTATTAAACAAATGCGTTTGCGCGTAACAAAATTACTCTTTTCAACGTGAACTAGATAATGGTATTAATATGGTAATTGTAGACTTCATTAATAAACATGCGATAGCTAAAAGCATTATTGGTGGTCCATACTATTCTATCCACTGCTAATCGAGCATCCTGATCAAATTAAAACAACTACGGCCGGCCTAGATATCAGAAACAAGTAATGTAGGTCTAGATAAGGCACTTATGACGCGTTTAGGGCGCAGTCCCATTACTTGTTGCATACAACAGTTAAAGCAGTAAATAATCAAATAAAAACAAATAATGTTGTTTTTAAAAAAAAATTGCAAAACTGAAGACACACTGATATGTGCAGCACGGCAAAAGTAAACCGAAAATATATTTTGTGAGTGCTTCTTTTTTGGTACTGTGTATTGATGTGTGCACTTGCAGGTGCTTAACCATGAGTTGGGCGGTGGAGGAGTGGAAGGATGGCCTTCCAGGGAAAGCCCTGCAAAGGATTCAGGAAATGGAGGTCCAGCTGGACAAGCTGAAGAAGGAGCGCAGCCAGAAACAGTTTCAGATGGAGTCCTTAGAGGCTGCTCTACAAAAACAGAAGCAGAAAGTTAGTGCACTGATAAACATATTAAACCAAAGTTAATTCCTTCATAATGTGGAATTCATTTTAATAATCTGTTTACTTAGGTGGACAGTGAACGTAATGAAATATCTGTGATGAAAAGAGAAAACCAGTCTTTAGTTGAATCATGTGACTCTCTGGAGAAAGCTCGCCAAAAAGCTATCCATGACCTCGGAGTCAAAGAGCAACAGGTACTGCCTACATTTTTATAATCTTGGAAAAATCTTTTACAAAAGCAGATGTTAACATAATTTGTATTTTTAGGTTAACTACCTTGAAGGTCAGCTTAAAGCATGCAAGAAGACCATTGAGCGACTGGAACAGGAACTAAAAAAGTGTGTGCATGCTGTTTGTTTTCAGCTGGTAAACTGACAAAATAATTGATTTAAATACTTTTTTCCAGGTACAAAAATGAACTTGATCGTTCACAGCCTGCAGGTGCTTCTTCAGTGGCCTCTTCATCTGATATTCCAGCTTTCGCTACTCCTCAAAAAGGTTTTGCCACGCCAGCTCCCGTCCAGACATACAGGCACCAAGGTACTACTAAATTCATGTTTTAGTTTTTATCATCAGTTTTTTGTCTCTTTCTCTTTTTGGGAGATTTTTTACCATAATTTTTTTCCCTTTTAAAGATAACCGACTTGAAGACCTTCAGGAAAAATACAACCAGGAAGTAGAAGAAAGAAAGAGACTAGAGAATGAATTGAAAATTTTACAGGTTAAAGTAAGTGCAATTTATCTATTTTTAACTAATTTTAACAAATCAGTTTTAATAGTATTTTTGTTTTGATTTTTAAGTTGTTGAACCAGTCATCTGTCTCTGTGAGCCACAAGGATATTGCTGCTCGCCAGCAAGCAGGATCCTCAATATTTCCGTGGCAGCAACAGGAGCAAAGCCACAACCGCTACACTCAAGATGCAATGGAAACACCCCTGAAAAGGAGAGGTGCTTCTCTATGGGAGCTCCATGATGAGACACCCATTAAACCCAGCCAGCGCCTGAGCTGTGCTGTCTCAATGCAGAGTCCCAGTGGTTCTTTTCAACAGATGGACCAACTCAAGACTCAAAATCAAGGTGAACTATCTATTATGTTTACATTACATTTACAAATTTCATTGCTTGCTATACGACCAACCACAATGTATTTATTGTCGTATATTCTACAGAATTTCGTTCTCGTGTGTCTGAGTTGGAGAGAAACTTGACCAACCAAGAAAAAGAAATAAAGAGCCAAACCTCCAAATTACAGGACCTGCAAATCCAGCTGACTCAAGCTCGCAAAGATCTGAGTGAACGTGACAGAGACTTAGTGAAGAAGAACCATGAACTCACCCAGGCTACAGACAAGCACCAACAGCTTCAGGTCAAGGTATGCTAACCAAGTGTGATATACGAATGATCAGATATTCTTATTAGTCACCAATGTGTTTCAAGGCCACACTGTTTGTATTTGCTACTGTTTAGTGTACATCAGTTGAGCAAAAGCTAAAACAGGTGACAGAGGAAATGAACTGTCAAAGGCACAATGCTGAGAGCTGCAAAAGAGCCCTGGAGCAAAAATTCAAAGATTTGGAAAGAGATAGCCAGAAGGTAAACTATTTACTGTTTAAAAATCTGTGTAAAATTGGATTCAACTAAACTGACTATTGTAAAATTGCTATTGCAAAGGAGCTGTCCCAGTTACAGAATACTCACCAGGCTTTGGAAAGGCAGATGAATCAAACTCAGACGAAGCTCACTCAAGAAATCCAACAATCTAAGAAGGATTATAATATACTCCAGTCTGACATGGAAAAGGTAAAAAGGCAAAATTTTGACATTGAGAGTGTGTCTGTTTCTTGAATGTGAACTCTTGTTACAGTTGAATTTTCAAAAAAGTCAGTTGGAGAAGGACGTTGAGGAGCATAAACAGAAATTACTGAGGTCTGAGCAGAGTATTCAGGTCTGTCAGACGAAAGAAAAAGATCTCCACAAGAAAGTCGAGGTGTGTATTTTATTTTACAAAATGTTCAGATATAACAGACTTAAGTATTCAGCTGTATCACTTTGTTTTATGTTCTTCGTAGGAGCTTCAAAGAGAGAAGAACCATGTATCTGTGCAGTTGGACCAGAGTACTAAACGTCTGAGTCAAATGGAGGATGAGAAAAAGAGCTCAGACCAAAGCTTAAAGCACTCCCAGGGTCTACTCGATGACCTCAGAGGTAAAGTGGTAACAAACAACCGTACAGCTAAATATTTTTACTCGTGCCAATTTCTAATATTTGATCTTTTCACATCCCAGCTAAATCTGAGGGGCAAACCGATGAACTTAAAAGGCTTCAGTCTAAATTAGATCAACAAACTCGGGATCTAGATAATATGAAAAGGACACTCTCTGAAGCAGAGACTACCAACTACAAGTAAAATGCTCTTCTAAATAATAACTTATGAAAAGTAAAATTATATGATTTCAGTTGTAATTGTTTTTCTTTGTAGGTCTCAGGGTGATCTCTTGAAGCAGAAACAAGAGTGTGAGCAGCTCACCAACAAATTAAATGTATTGGAAAAGGAGTGCCAAGAGCTGAAATCCAGTCTTGCTTCTTGTCAAAGTGAGTGTGCTGAACTTAAACTAGCACACGGAGCTCTTCTGGAGTGGAAGACTGAAAAGGAAAGTCTTATCAGTGACACCGAGGCTGTCCAAAATGCACTTAAGGAACAACTGAGCAGCTCTGAGAACAGTGTCAACATGTTGATTGAAGCGAATGAGGAATTAAAAGTATGACACCTTTTTATTGTACTTTTATGTTCTGTGTCCCTGCAAATGTTCATAAAGGCACATCTGTGTTTTTTATAGAAACAGCTGTCTGCAGCAGAGGATAAGCACAGCAGTTTGTTAGTTCATATAGACTCATTAAAAGGGGAACTCCTAAACAAATGCACTGAACTAGAGGAGAAAGAACACCAATACAAAGAGCTCCAGTCCAAACTCTCAGAAACTGAACTGAAACACTCAAAAGACCTGCAAAATGTCGGTGTGCAGGTGATGCAGCTTGAGACTCAAGTACGTTTTTGTTTCCTCAAAGTAGATGATGCAACGTAGCATAATGCTCAGTGAAAAACAATTTAATTTTGTGTAACTCTTTCTAATTAGGTCAAAGATCTTCAGATGCGTTTGCAGAAGGAGGTGGCCCATGCAGAGCAGGCAGAGACGAGGATCACCCAGCTCCAGGAAGAGCAGCAGGCAGCATATGACCTGATCAGCTCCAAGGACCAGCTGGTGGAGCTCGGCCGCGTGGAGATGAACCAACTGAGAGAGAGTCTTATAATGGCTACAGCTCAGCAGGAGGAACAGGCCACTAGGTAGAGCTGTTATTCTGTTACTGTGGAGTAACTGAAGCTGTCTTACATCAGAGAGTCAGGGGGACATTGGAGAGTGTTTTTCCCCATTAGTACAGGACCAAGAGACATAAACCCTTTAATACATTGTGGTAGTATTGTCCATTCCAGTCTGGCTATGCTCCAGTTGTAAGGATTATTATGGCAAGGACTGGAAGGGATGTATTCGTATAGTCGTATAGTAGGTATAGTAGTACAATTTCCCTGTGAAAAGTTACTGGATATTCTTTACTAATTGATCTACACTGTATGACCTGGGTTTAGTGATACACAAAAATATTTTTTCTTCATCTGATCTTTGGCAGAATGGCTGAAGAAAAAGCATCACTTTTGAAGCACTGTGAGGAAAGTGTGTTGTCAAAGGAAGCAGAAAGTGAAGAGCTGAAACTACGTCTGCAGGAAGCCCAACAAGACCTACACCTGGCTCAAAATAAAGTATGTCCTTAAAGATGTCACTCTGGCATCTTTTATATTTACACAAGCATCTATAAAATTAAATGAATAATTATTGTGTTGTAGATCACTTCTTTGGATCAGTTCATGAAGGTTCAGGAGCAGTTAGGAGAGGATCTGCAGAAGCAAATCAAAACATTGACTGAAGCGGCTGAACAACATAAAAACATGCTAAAGGAGAAAACGGATGAAGTTGAGCAAATAAAACAAGAGTTGAAGGATTTGAAATGTCAGACCGAAGAGAAGGATAAGCACCACAAACAGATTGCAGATCAGATGATGTCTTTAGAGAAACAAAAAATTGAACTGGAAAACTCAATTCAAGAGATTAAGCAAGAAAAGGAGGTAAGTTTATTAACAATGAACCAGTATCTTTTTTTATACTGTATGCAGTATGGTAAAGTATCTCGTCTTTTATCAAAGATCTTCAGTAATGCAACAACTGAGAAGATAAATAGCCTCCATCAAGAGATTTCGTCACTACAAGAAAAAGTTGCTGAAGGAAGACATGCTGCAGATAGGCTTCCTGTTTTAGAGGATGACCTGAATAGGGTCAACCAGGCTCACACCAAATTAAAACAGTGTCTAGAAGTCCTTGAGAGAGATCACTCATCTGTTATTGAAATCAAATCTAACCTGGAGAGTACCCTTTTGGAGAAAAATGCTCTAGTCACTTCTTTGGAGCTCAATATCAAAGATATGGCGGAGAAGATAAAAACACAATCTGAGAATCATGCTTTAGAGATTGAACATTTCCATAATGAAGAAAGAGGACTTAAAGATCAGCTTGAAGAACTTAAACAAAAAGAAGTGACGACTAAAATGGAGTTAAGGTCTCGTCGAGAAGAAATCAAGACCATGAAAGCAACTATATCTGCTGCTTCCAGTGGCCTACAAGAGAGGGACAACACGATAACAGCCCTGAATGAGAAACTGAAGAAGGTAGAAGCAGAACAAAGTAAATCTGCTGAACTTCTGAAGGAGAAAATGGATTCCATGAACAAAATAAAGGTTTGTGTTTTGCTGGTTTCATGAGGATAGTTTATGATATTGATTAATCACAATATAAAATATGAGGGGGTGATAAAACTATTACATCATTCCAGGTCCAACTGGAGATGCTTCAAATGGACTTGGAGGATAATGAGATTGTGATGAACACATTTTACAATCAGACTGAGGAACTGAGAGGAACCATAGAGTCACTGGAGACTCAGCTCGCTTACAGCAACTCTCAGGTGTCTGAGATGGAGGCTAGAGTGGAGGATACCAAAGCACAGGTCTGAAAAAAAAATGTATCTGAATTTTACAAAAAAAAGCACTGGTATTTTGTTAAATAAAATGCTTCTGTTTTCAGGTGTCAGTCTTGGAGAGCCGGTTAGAAGAAGTTCAGGCTCACAACAGTTCACTGGAGGCTCAGTATGTCACAGCCAGAGAGGAACTGATGGATCGTAGCTGTGAGATAACCAGACTGGAGGAAGAAGCTGCCCAGTGTAAACAGCTGGAGGAGGAGGTGGATGAACTGCAGAAAGAACTTCACCAGATCAGAGCTGAAAAGGAAACGTTGGAGACTAAACTGAGCCAAACAATTGAACATCAAGACATTTTAGTCATTGAGAAAAATAACCTTGAGAATGACCTAACTCAAGTTAATGTAGAAAATAAAGATCTAAAAGAATCCATAAACCAATTAACAGAAGAGAGCAGACAACTGCAGGACAAAGAAGAACTGTTAGGCCAACTTGAGATTAAAATAAGTGAACTGACTTATGAAAAAAATGGTTTGAAAACAGAGTTTGATGAGGTCCTCTATGAAAATTCTAAGCTGAATGGAGAAAAAGAGGTTTTATCTTATAAAATAACTTCTCTTGGAGACGAATGCCAGAATATGAAGATGTCACTCATATCATCACAGCAAGAGGTAGAAAAGCTCAAAGAGCAACTAGAAAGAAGCTGTGATATAACGCGTCTTGAGGAAGAAGCAGACCGTCGAAAACACTTGGAGGAGTCTGTGAGTGGACTGCAGAAGGAGCTTGACCAGAACAGAATAGAAAATGAGAAGTTACTGACTCATCTGAGACAGATGACAGAGCACCTTAACCTTCTGACTGACGAGAACAGAGACCTGCAGAATAAGGTGGAACAGTTAAGCAAAGTCCAGGCTGAAGTAAATAACATGAGTTTGGAGATGGGGATGTGTAAAGATGTTCAAGAAAAAGATTTGCTTATCAATAATCTACAGCAAGAAGTGGAACAACTCCAAGAGGAATTGGACAGAAGGGCCAAAAAGAATGAAGAGGATCTCAAAGAAAAGTATTATGATTTGCTGAATTGTCTCCATGTGCTTGTTCATTACCTTTGGCTGAAGATTGTTTTGTTTGCTTTCACAGAGATAAAGATTTTGAGGTGGAACAGGCCAGGTTACACCAGAAGCTCACCGATTTACACACAGAGTTAGCAGACTGTAAAGAGAAGTACAGCATGCTGAAAGAACAAGTCAACCAACAACATGATTTTATAGTGCAGCTCTCTGAACCAAAGAGCAATACAACTCCAGCTGAAGTGTGCAGCCCCACACAGTGTTTGGAAATAGCTGTTGATGGTGTGTATTTTTGTTTCTGTTAATTTCTACTGTTTTGAGGTCTAGTGTTCATTACCTCCATTTCTTTATACAGGGGAAGAGACAAGTTTGGAGGCCATGGGCAAATGTTTAGAAGCTGTCCCCAAAACGCATCTCAGGTAAGAAACTTTAAGCAGGGACAGGTTTTGGGTTTATGCACTGACTTGAAATTAAAATGTATTATTTAATTTCGACAGGGATTTTACACCACAAGAGTGTATGCAAAATGTTTGTGCCAATTATGAAGAAATGGTCATTCGAGAACAGGTATGTTAATAAACATGACAAACAAACATGTATATTCTGTAAATACTTTGTAAAAGATCCTTTGTAACTTTCCATTCCTTTAGCCTCCAAAAGATGATGATGCTCTACCTAAAATCACAGATGACTCTCATCTCACAAAAGACATGAAATCCATTGGTAATAAATACAGCTTCAGCTTTTCTGGCACTTATGTTTTTACTATGGAAGATTTCATACTTATTTTTTTAAACTCATTTCAATCTTTGAACAGCAACATCTAGTACAATTCAGTTCAGTGGAGAAGTGGGGGCACAAGATGACACACTGGAGACCCTCCACTGTGAGATTGATTTATTGAATGCTGACCTTGAGCTGAGAAAAGAGATGAGTGCTGAAATGGAGACCTATGTTAAAAAACTGGAACAGAAAACGTCTGCCTTTGAGACAAAAGCACAGGAGGCCATAAATCAACTAAACATCGCCTTGAAAGAAAACAGAGGCCTTGTCAACCAGGTGAATATTACAGCTAGCTACAGATTTAAATGTAAAAACGTATGTTACTTAAACATTCTTTGGTGTTTTATAGGTGGGAAAGCTGACGGAGGATAATGAATCTTTGACACTGCAGCTTCAAACTGCTAAATGCCAGCTGACTGATATCGTAGAGATGCTTGAAGGACATGAGATGGCCAAAGGTCAGTTTTTTAAAATTTACTTAGAAATTAGTGATGTGTAGTACAGACTCTCCAGAAATGTTGTTTTGTTGTAGGTGGGTGGGATGAGAAGTTCCTTCAGCAGGAGAGTGAATTAAAAAGGGTACGCTCAGAAAAGGCAAACCTGGAGCAGCACATTCTTGGGATGGAGGGAGAGCTGGAGACACTGCAGGAGGAGGGCACCAAACTGAAGCAAGACCTCGAAATCCAAAGACGAGCCTGTTCTGTGATGGAGAACAACATGGAGAGACTCATGACAGAGGTAAATGCTGATGTACTGAAGCCAGGCTCCAGGGCCTTATTGAAGTTGGGTATTTATTCTGGGTTTCGCCACTAGCTTGTTTCTATGGTTTGTTCCCCACCTATATATTACACAGTGCATCATTTGGTGGACCATTTACTGGAAGTTGATGATATGTTAATAGTAATAATAATTACACAACAAACAACTATTTTTGCAGACGACCCAGCTGAGGTCAGAACTGGTCTCCTGCACAGAAGAGCGAGATGATTTGAGCCACTCGCTGTCTCAGTGTAAAAAGCAGGTGCACAGCCTGGAAAAGACCAACTCTGACACCAGAGAACTAATTTTAATCCTGGAGGATGACATCAGAGCAAGGAAAAAGGAGTATGATGCACTGCAAAGTAACACAGAGAAAATAAAAACTGACAGAGAAGAGGTAATAAAATGGGTTAAGTAGCAGTTTTACTTGTCCTTACATGCCCTTCTCTACAAATCTAAACTGATTATTTTTCTTCCATTAGTTGTTGAAACGGGTCAAAACTTTAGAGCAGACTCTAGATCAGCAGAGTGGAGAGAAAGAGGATCTGATTGGCCAATTGGAGAAAATACATGAGGACCACACTTCTGATGTCAACAACACAGAGTTGTTAACCACCAAAATACAGGTGAGCTACCTGATATAACCTTAAAAAACTGAAATATTCATGAACTGATTTAAACATATTTCATTCTAAACAGTGTCTCGAGGGCGAAGTGACTCGTCTGACACATTCCCTGGAGTCTTCTCTTTTGGAAAAAGGAGAGATCGCTTCTCGTCTGAACGCAACTCAAGACGAAGTGCAGCAGATGAGGACTGGTATTGAAAAGCTCCAGGTCCGCATTGAGGCAGATGAGCACAAGAAAAAGAAGATAGGGGAACTGCTTAAAGGTGATTTTCTTTTGATTCCTTTAAATCAAGTTCAATCAAGACTTTAATCTGAGCTTTAAAGTACAATCTCACCATAAAGAAATGATTTAAAGCTACAACAGGTGAGCTGACACTCGCCTCAACCGGACATTGCTCTTTTTTTTTTTTCCGTAAGTTTATAGCCGTGTAACTTTAGTCTGTTCTTAGCTGCACAAAGGAAAGCTGATGCACTTCAAGATCGCATTGACGCCCTTGAGCGAGAGAAGGAGGATGTGGAGCAGAGTCTTGAAGATGCAGTGGTTCAGGTAAAAGCAAAGTTGGTTAATAAGCATCACTGGTGTCTTCTTATCGAGTTCACATTTCCAAACTCTTTTATGTAGGCAGAAAGTGTCAAAGCTGAACTGGAAGAGGAAATAAGAAAGGTACAGTACTTATTTTATTATATTATGACATAATTGTAATCTTTTATTATAGCTATAACAAAGAATACATCTTTATCTTTAGGTTGAGGAAGAGAAAAAGGAGCTGAATGAAAAACTCAAAGAGCTCTCTACTGAACTGGACCACCTCAAATTTGAAAAGGAAAGCATGGAACAAGAACTAACACTGAAAAGACAAGAAATCAAAGGACTGAAGGTGGCTAAAGAAGAACTGGAGCGAGGTTTGGAGCGAGTTCAAAATGACAAACAACAAGAAGTGCTGCTGTTGGAGAGGGGAATGAAGGAAGCCACAGACAGACAGACTCGAGAAGTAGGGGATCTCCAAACACAGCTTGAAGACTTGCAGAAGAAGACACTTTCCCTTGAACAAAAATGTGCAGAATTGGAGGGAGAGAAGATGCAAATGCAGTTTGTTCTACTGGAACATGAAAATGAGAAGAAACTGTTAAGCAGTTCTTTAAATGAGTGGCAAAAAGAAGGAGAAAGACTTAAAACTGAGGAGGAGCAGTGGGACTTGGAGAAGCAGAACCTGATCAGTCGCATTAAGGTTTTGGAAAAAGAAACGGAGGAACTTAAAACTCTCATTGCAGCTAAAGAGAAGGAATGGGAAGCTTTGGAAGTGATGCGCCACCAAGAAGAAGACCACAGGCAAACATTAAAACAGTCTGTAACAGCTCTCACAAATGAAAAAGAAAAAATTGAAGAACAAAACAGACAGGTACAAGAGGAAAATGTTCAACTAGAATCAGTCCTTATTTCAGTCAAACAGGAGAGGGATGAGTTGCAGTCCACTCTGGCATTGGCAAAAGAAGAAAATGAAAACCTTCATTCAAACTTGGTGTTGGTGGAAAAGAACAAAAATGATATGGAGCAATCATTATCTTTGTGCGAGCAAGATAAAGTGAAAATCAATCAGGAAAAGCAGGAACTAGAGGTGGAGATGCAGAAATGCCAGTCTTTGTATGGTTTGTTAAAAGAAGAAAAAGATGCACTGAATATTGCCATTTCTTCACTTGAGGAAGAGAAGAAGAAAGTTGAGGAGGCAAAAGAAAAACTAGAGTGTGAGAAGGAGCTTCTCCAATCTGCTGTGTCCTCAATGGAAAAGGAGCTGGAAACAAACAAATTATCCATCTCAGAACTAAATGACCAGGTAAAGTCTTTTATGTTTAATCATTAGTATGAAACATGGAACAAAACATTAAACAATTGTCTTCCAGGTGTCTGAGTTGACTTCCCGTGCTGCTCGACTCTCTAAAGAAAAAGACTCTGCTCTGAGCAAGATCAGTCTACTGATGAAAACCTGCAAACAACTGGAGGAGGAAAAACAAGTCATGTTGAATCATGCAGGTGCGTGTTTCTGTGAATTATTTTTGGGTAGTTTGGCTCTGACACATTAACACATGTTAAATTTTTAGAATGTGTAAATGGCAGTGAAGAGGTGAGCCAACTCAAGATGGCAGCAGAGGAGAGCGAGAAACACGTGCACAGTCTGAAAGCTTCCCTTGAAATGAAGACCAGTGAGGATCAACAAAGCAACAGAAAACTGCAACAGGTAAACGGTGCTCTAGAACTCCTAAAGAAGGAACTGGATACAAAGAACAAAGAGTTAGAAGAAGCCAAGACTGACCTGAATGAACTGAACAAACTTGTGGAGGAGAAAAGTCAAGAGGCTGACGAGAGCATGGACAAGTACTGCACGCTGATGATTCAAGTGCACAAATTAGAAGAGACAAACAACGCCTTGACTGCACGCCTGGAGCAGATCACCAACAAACAAACCCTTAATGTTAACGAGGGCCCCCGCCGCTCCAACCGGAAGTCCACCTCCAAACTTCACACCATTGAAAACTCTGAGAACATCCCATCCACACCTCTGCGCTCTCCTCTGGGAGCAACAAAGAGGGGCCACTGTGATGTCACTGACAGAGATCCTGTTCAAGAAGCTTTGCACAACCTGACAAAGAAAATCAAAGCTACAGCTGCCACCACTCCCAGACCCAAGGCTGAACAGGACGAGGACTTCAGACCTGAAGGACTCCCAGAGCTGGTGCAGAAAGGTACGCAGCAAATATTTACCATAAAATATGACTAGTGTTTTAACATATTTTTAAAAATATCTTTTTATAGGGTTTGCAGATATTCCTTTAGGCGAGGCCAGCCCATTTATTGTCAGAAGAACCACAGTGCGGCGCTGTAGCCCTCGGCTCATGTCAAAACAGAGCTCTACATCTTCAGAGACGGACAAGGTAAGCTCTTCAGACCAGAACTGATCAGTCCACAACGTTGTACAAATTTCAGTTTGACTAATCCGGTTTCATCCACAGGTGCTGGAGCCTCTTCACCCGCGGAGCCCCTCTGCTGATGTAGCCTCAACCAGGAAACGTCTCTCGCAAAGTGCAAAGGATCCAAATACAATTCAGAAGACTGAGCAGACACACGCACAGGGAGAAAACTGTCACGTTCAGTAGATTTCACACACGTGCACACACACACACACATTCAGTTCTCACCAGTCACAACTGGGGTTCGTATTTACACTAGGGTTTGCACTTTTTTAATGTAAGATGTCTAACATGTGCACTGTTCAGTCAGATTGGTGCCGCCTAACTTCTCCAAAACACAACTATACATTCAGGAACTAATTTTGATCCGTTTTAGTCCTTTTACATTTTTCTTTATGTGCTTGTTAGATATTTGTATTTTGCTTATTGTTTTTGATTTGATTCCTTTTGGACTTTGTGCATAGTGTGCTGTAGCTGTATGCTTCATGTATGTATCATTTATTATTTCATTATTTGCTTGTGGCAGCTGTAAGTGTAGCCTGTACTAACTAATGCATTTTATTTTATAACTGTTTTTAAACTCCCAGTCAGTTTCATAAATGTAAATAGCTGATGAAAAGTTTACTAAAGATTTTATCTTGCTCAAACTGTGTTTGACTTTTAATTAATGGCATGAGTATAATTTCACTACTTAGATCAAGTGCTAGAGTAAAGTTTTCAAGACCAACCCAATATCTGTTGAACCTGCCCACTTTTATGTTATGGTGATTCTTTCTTAGATGCACCTAGTCTATATTCAATTATTGCCATTACCTGTTTTAATATTATGTTTGTCTAAAAATTCTGCACTTCAAAAAAAAAACAAAAAACCTCAGAAATCAATCATTGGGAACCAACCACTGAGAAAAATGAAACGAATAAAAGAAGCAAAAGGTGTCGGCCAAGTCCTGGAATGACCTACATTGGTGGTTCCTGGCCCACAGTTGGATCATCCCTCTATGCTCTATACATGTAAACAGGTTAAACCGGTTTTAGAAATATGTCACAAATAAACAAATGTATTGGTGATGTTTGCTCAGATATGTGAAATGGAAAATGACATGTCATCTTTATATATTTTAATAAGCAGATGCAGTGACCAGTGTAAATGCTGCTCTAGAGTTTTGTCAGTTTGTCCACATTATTCTCTTGTATCCTGAAGCCTGTTGAGTGTCCTTGTTCTGAGAAATGTAGACAGGCATACCCTGTTAAATGGTTTGTACACTCAGCAGGCCCATCTTTGGATCAATAAAGATTGATTTTCTTTTTTGTTATGTAAGCATCTGGAGGATTGACAGCCAGTGCTGGATCACTGTACTGACCTTTTGACCTTAGGAACAAAAAGCAAGACATGTCAGAAAACACATAATCAATGCAAATGTGTGTCTGTGTGTCAGATGGTGATCAGGAGAGCAGTGCATCCTGGGATATGGGAACAGAGGAGGTGACAAACCTCTGGCTGGAGCTGGGGCGGAAGCTGTGGTGCCAGAACCAACTTACTGAGCTCTGTGAACACTGGCACCAGACGAGAGCGGGTGGTCTGAGGCGCACACAGGCGGACAGACCAATCCCCTGTATGCATGATTTGAGCCATTCTTCACTCACTGTGTAAGCTCTGTGGCCCAAGCTGCAGGAAGTCTACTGGAGTGGGCAGAGGAGAGAAAAAGACTGAATTTCATTGAGATAAATGGGTTCTAAAGTGTTTTTTTTTTTTTTTTTTTTCAGATATAGCAGGCATACATTTACCACACTGTATGTCTAAACACAGCAGTTATTTTACTTTATCTGAACGTCACCTTAAATAACAGGCCCACATCATGTAAAAGTTCATGGAAACTCCACTTATTAAGTAAAATGTGTCACAGTATAACTTTTAGCATGTATGGCTAGATATGGGCATCCTTTTTATACTGACCTCTTTGCCTTGTTCACAAAGCTACATTGACTGTAACTAAACTCCTGAAGCACAGTAAACCGTAGCAGTGTTGACTCTGGGCTGTACTTCCTGTTGTCATAACTTTAGATTACGCATCATAAGACCTGCTGGTGCTGGCACATACTGCCCCATAACGGAGGATGAGACATCCAGGCTGTGAACTGTATGGGTGACAGAGAAGACCCCTAAACCTGTTCCCATATTAGAGATAACAGGACAGACCCGGGTGCAGACCAAACTGGCTGAGGGTGCATTCGAGTTTGAACTGGTGCAAACATTATACATTTTCATTAAGTGACATTATGGTTTTAGGAGCCTGAAATTAGGGTGCAAACATTTTAAACTGAAGTTGCAATACACCCTTTTGCACCCCTGTATACCCAGGCCTGTAACAGGAGTTTAACAGAAAGGGACATTAAAATCTTCCACAGAGGAGGGACACCATTGTCCATCATCATTGTCCCATAGGGACCACCATTTTTGTTAAGCATTGACTTTGACGCTTTTAGAACTGTCCATGGTATTTTAGGTGAGCTGTCAAACTGACCCGTAGCTCCAGTCCATACCCTCAGCTGGCGCCTAAGATGATTTTGATAAATATTATTGAAACAATGGCACCAAACAAGTACAAATAAACAGCAAAATACTGAAAGCAGAGGATTTTCAAGGAGAGGACTGTCCCCCTTCCAGTTCTACAGCACTTCTGTTTGCTGTAAATTATGCGAAATAACTTGATTGGGTTTGTACTATTTTATAACACCTTCATTTTAAGACCCTTTTAGTAACTTATTAGTGTTAGAGGGTTTTGCTTGTGGTTTTATGTTTGGTGGAGAATCAGTTCCAGAGAATTGTTGATGTGATTCAATTTTTATGAGACTTTTATTCTTTATTTGACCTTTCATTGACCTGTAATCTAGCTACAAACATTGTAAACTGCTGATGCTTTATCACTAGACAAGTCTGTTGCACTGTGTATTTATGTTGGGTCTGGTCAGTTTGGCAGTATTCTGCAAAACCAGGTGCCCTCTGAAGTGGATGATGAGTGTATTCCAAAACAGACTATAATTAATGAGCTTTGTTTAATACAAATTCTTTACAAATACAAACATATGACACAGTATAAAATACAACATTTAAGAAATATATTAAAAAGACCTTTTTTTTAAATAAAAACAGTAGTACTATGATAAGAGCCAAGCAAAAATGCAGATAAAGTGATAATGTTTCTCTCACTACACCTCTCCAAACTGAGCACGGGGCAGAACAGGTATTGGTGAACAGAGTAAGCAGCTGATTTAAACCATGAACAGAAAGTGCAACAAAGTGAAGATCCTTATGGATCTGTTAAGGCCAGAATAGGTATGGTGTCTTTAATTTGTCCTTTTAAAAAAAATGCTTTTGTTTCACTGCTTTCATATAGCGCTTTGGCACAGCTTCAGTGTGGTTAAGAAAATACACAGGTTAAAGGCACACTAATTTATCTCTAAACATCCATGAGTAAAGAGGAATACTCTGATCTGAGCAGAGGAGACACTGTTAACATACAATGTTCAGAAGGTGGTTTGATTTGATAACCGGGGACTTCACAAAAAAATTAAAAAAGTCTTTCATATAGTAAATGTGTGCCACAATAGTGTTTCATACTTGATGTATAAAGTTTGTCTTTCACTTGATGTTGTCTAAGTTTGAAATGTCTCCTCTTTCTGGGTCCATTCCGTTCATGAACAGGTGTTTTTTCATTAGTGGAGTGGTTAGCCCGTGTAGTGCAGCCTCCCTCCTTTCCAGCTCATCATTAAAGTTGACTGACACAGTCCTTTTGGGCAGAGAGAGCTCCGAGGCCGTGCTGAAGGCCAAGTCTGTGGACAGTTTGCGCTTGATGGAGGCGGCTCTTTGGAACTTGTCATAAAGCTCCACACTCACTCTTCTGCGCGTCTCTTTAAACTCTGCAGAGACCGATGCTGTCCACTCGGCTGCTTGGGCCCGGATCTCACCAACCTGTGAGAGAGTCAATTATTACAATCAGAGAAAATCACATAATATTAAAAATTCTCTTAGAGGATTATGGATAGTGCAGCCTGAGAGAATGTAGGGGAGGATGAATGTAGGTTGAGCAGTGGGACAATTTTTGTTTGTATTTGTCAACAACTGTTTAGAAGTGATTTTGCATTTTGTATAGATTCTTTTGATGTTGCAACTCATTACTAATCATCATTGTTTGTTTGTTTTTTTATTTATTTTTTTATTAATGTAATAATGAAATCTCATATTTTATTTGCCTCTGTTTATTGTAATGAAATGACAAACTCTCCAAACCCTGTGGAAATTAAAGTTACAATCTAATGCTGAAAGTGATTGTATATCATCTATTTAATATTAATATTATATAAGTGAATATGTTGTGCCCCTTTTACTCTGTACTCACATTCCCACATGCTGGACACTTTCACAGTACTGCAGAAACGCTCTCTCAAGTCACTTATAACATTTGAAAAATGGCGGTTTATTTTTAGCTTCCACAGAATCCATCTTTCCCATCTACCTGGAGAGGCTCACAGTAATGCCCTGAGACTGTGTTGATACAAATTAGAAAGTGGCCCAATCATTGAAATTTAATTAAGATAAGGCAAAAGCTCACTTACATATCAAGCCATTGTACATAAAGCCAAAATCAGATAAAAAATCAGTATAGTTATAGCACAAAGGAAGAGCTTGTACCTCTTCTTTGGTCCTCTTTGAGATGACTCTGAGCCAGTCACCGATCATGCTGAGAATGGCAGCAAAGTAAGCCAGTCCCACCAGAATCCAAAACCACACCACTGGTTTATAATAGTCCAAATATGCAATATCAGAGCCACCTGTGTGCACACAAGAGCTAATATGAGAAAAAAATAAATAAATACATAAACATAATCTTTCATCCTTACGCTGTCACTGTACCTGCCACAAAGTCTCCAAATCCTATGGTTGTGAGAGTAATGACCACAAAGTAAAGAGCCTCCAGAGCGGACCACCCCTCAATGTGTTTAAATATGACCGCAGGGAGAGCCACAAACAGCAGGCAGCCGAACAGGACAAAGAGGATGGTGGATATGACCCGGATCTTAGTCTGACTGATATCACCATGCTGCAAAAAAAATCATATGATAAGATTAGATAATTTCACTCAAAATAACAATATGTACAGTGTATAGATTTAGACAGACAGACAGATAGATACTTTATTGATTCTGAGGCAAATTTAAGTAGTGTAGTAGTTTAAAGTTCTCATCCAAATTTGGTTATAAACACGGTTTGAACTTCTGAATTGTATTATGGTCATTGTGGAAAACAGTATTCCTGGTTTATATTTTTGTACCGATAAGGGGGCTCTGGCCTCAGAAGGTTTGAGAGTCCCTGACCTACAGAATATCTCCCTATTATAAGGCCACTTGGAGTTTTAGACATGTAGACGTCACAACTAAATATATAATATAATTGTCTTTGTTTGAACAAGAGCAAAGTGTCCACCCTCTTTCTCACATGCATAATTATAACACAAAGTCTTTCTCAGAGAGCTAAAAGGCTGTTCATATTCACTGAGAAGAATGCTGCTGTCTCACACATAATACTTTTGTACCAGAGCACAGCCTCAAAGGTGCACTATGTCACTTTTCTGGTGGCATTTTCCTGCTTGTATCCATAGAGATGTTAAAGTTTTGCCTCAAACTTTCCTCAGAATTACATTTAACTTATCCATCTTCATGGAGACAAGCAGGCAATGCCATCAGGCCAAATTACAAGTTAGATATGTGGAGTGGTGACTCCACTCGTGGTAGAGTCATATTTTTCAAGATCTGTTGAGCAGTAAAACACCCATAATGAAATAAATGCTAGCTATATATGTTAATTATCATACTGGGAAACATTCCAGTAGACACGCAGGACCAGTTATTCTACATTTTCTTTAAAAAATAAATAAATAAAGAAACTTACAACAAACATTTTCTCCACTCGGGCAATTCCTTTGCCAAATATTGTACCAAGCTGATCACCAACACCAGCCAGGAGAAATCCAAACAAAGGAATTCCCAGTAAGGCATAAACAATGCAGAAGATCCTCCCTCCATGAGTGTGTGGAGAGGTGTTTCCAAAGCCTGCATGGTGTGATAAGATAAAGTATTAGAAGATTCAATAATGGATATAAATTCCATTTCTAAAACCTTGTATCCACATGTACTGTACCAATAGTTGTGATGACTGTCCCAGCAAAGAAGAAGGCCGAGCTCAGGTCCCACAGGCTGCTGTGATTACTGAGGGTTCCTGTTGGGTTCACCCCTGAGCGCATGGCCAACACTATTTGCTGTAAAAGTAAAACTCTGTTAAAAAAGTCATTGTAACTCTCATATTTCATTGTATAAAAACATAAGGCCCCTGTGTAAATATTAGTGACAGCATAAAAACAGAGTTTTGTCCTGTGCTTTAGGAGCTGTCCCTGGTGCTGATTTGAGTCTCACCTTCACCAGCTCCTCCAGCTCGCTGTGGTTCACACACTGGTGTTTTGACAGGAACTCCAGCTTCTGGGTCAAGATAGCCACGCGCTGGGCACTGCCAGAAAACAACAACAACACACATTATATTTAATGTACTCTTTCTTTTGTCATGTAATCACAAAAGCAATTGCAAAGCAATTCCTTAAAGCTCCAGCATGTAACCTTTTTGCCAAAAAAATAATATAAAATTTTATTTTGTTTTCTTTTAATTGCACTGAAAACATAAACACACACAAACCTGATTCTTGTTTGGCATGGAAAAGGGCCTTCTCCTGGTTGTCTCCATGGAAATCCATGGAAAATCTTCCCAAGTATGGTGATAACTTTCTATTTCCATGGAATCTGGCAGGTGCCACCTCCTAAATGTTGTGCAATGTTGCTTTAATTAAGATTTATGCAACAAAGTTTGTCTTAGGATATCTACTCTATAACTTCATTAAAATTCACTCATCAGATTTATAGTGAATGCTCTGGTCATTGTATTTCAAATGACTTGGTGGTGGACCACATGTCATTTCTTCACCTTCACTGAAACACATACTTGATACTACTACCACTTGATACTTGATAACTGCTCATAATCCTGTACCTCTCATGGGGCTGCTCCAATGCTTTGAACACCGCTGCACCCATCACCAGATACAAGACCACCAGGACAAAAATGGCAGTCACCGTTTTCCACTTCATCACCGTGGCAACCACCTGCAACACTGGATCCGATCAGTCAAAGGCCATCCCCAAAAAAAAACACAGATGCCATTTGAATTCGCCATGACCCTTCATGTACTAGCCTCACCTCACTCTCCTCCCGCGCTGTCAGTGTGGAGAAGGAGAGCCGTGGTTTGCTGTTGTGAGCTGCAGATTTTGGGTCCAATAAGTCAGGAGCTGCCACTGTCACAAAACAAAACAAAATTACATCAACTTAGGCCTCATTAGTTCCTTTCATACACAGTTGTGCCTCCTGCTGCAGACATGGGCGTCTAGAAGTGGTGTGTTAATTTTAGAAGCAGCTATAAATAAATAAAAGGAGTTCTTTAAATGGCTCTATAACACAGAAAACATGAGTCTCTGTAGGCTATGCTATACAAAAGGAAAAACAAGAGAATAAAAACACAAATGTAACCTAAACCATAAGATCGAGGCCAATACAGGATTCTGTTCAAATTGGCTAACTAAAAAGAAATAATTATGATTACCATTTATATTTTTGCTCTCTGTTATTATATTTAATGTGATGTGTGAGCTACTGTGTCCAAATAATGTCATTTGTGGATCGGTAAACTTTGTTTAAATCTAAACTGAAGAAAGCCTTTTTACTACTTACCAGAATAGACAGCAATAACCTGAGTAGATTAATTTAACTGCACTGCTGTCAAAATCAAGTGTTCTACTTTCCTCAAATAAAAAAATAATTGTTTAAAAGTTACACGTTTGATTATAAGTGTAAGATCTACCTATTTAATTTTGCAACCTGCTGCGGACAAGTGTCAGTGTTGCAAAGTTCAGGGCATCTCTGCTGAACGTAGCCAATACTCACTCCTTGTAGTTCGGCCTATCCGATGCCCTCCGCTCTCCTCTTCTCCTCATCCGACGCTCTGACTGCGGGCGGACGAATGTTTCCTCCGCGCGGTCCCCTGTGGCGCTGCAGCGGGACGGCCAGCGGCAGCCCCGTGGTCCTTTGGCGGGTTTGGTGGAGCACCGCGGGGCGCACGCAGGATTCACGTTTGGACTGAGGCTTCGTCACCGTGCAGCTCCAAAGTTGTGTTTCTGCGATGGCGCTTCTTGGCATCCACTCTGTGTCCACGGCGCTTCGGTGCGCTCTGGCTTTTGAGCCCACCGCCGCGGGATGCCCCAGGGGGGACTTTGGGGGAGGGGTCAATGGGTGGACGTGGAGGGGTCGCTCAGGGAGCCGTCTGTAAAAAGTTACTTAAGTTATTTAAAAAGCCTAAACAACCAAAGTGATTTATACAGGCGCGTCTAGTGTGGCAGAATGATAAAATGTGAAAATTAAATACAGTTTTGCACTGGTTGAAAATATTTCGATAAAATTAGCCCACTTGAATGATGGAAATGTGTTCTAAACTGGATACTGAATGCACATTTAGAGCTGTGTTACGTTGCAAAAGGAAAGGCAAACCTAGTAGCCATAGTAGCCTATGAATGGGAATACACAACTGAGCCTTATCTTGTGTTGAGCTTTTTATAGAGTTCTGCTAAAGCCACGAGAGAAGGAGGTATGCCTAATGAAAAGACAGGAAGCTTACCATTTGCAAATCTGTCACATTTCATTTTATGTTTTTGATCAAACAGACATTTCATTTATTTATTTATTTATTTATTTATTTTGGTCATTAAAGTTTTTATGATCAAACGTTTTGACAAGAATCAAACAATTACAGTAAAAAACAATGAGACAGCTTTATCAAGAGACATTTAATAATTTTCAGGGTCCGCACTATTACATGTTACACATTGAGGCAAAAATCTAAGATATACAGAACTGGAGAAGCTATATAGATGAGTGGTGAAACATATCCACTTCTCAGAATTTTTATCCAGTTGATAGAATTGTCTTGTACTATGGACCCTACTGGGACAACTGAGGGATTTTAGACATGGGCTATTTCAATCGTAAATTCAACATTAAACATTTATCAAATTTTGTCCATTTTTGTCCCAGTGGACCAACTTAAAATACATCATGAGCTCACCTCCAGTCAGAACTTTTGAGCCTTGTCCTTATGACCTCACCTGTCTAAATGTGGCACCACTCTTGCTGTTCTGTGGGACGACTCTGCAGGAGCGTCTACTGTTTCTCTCTGGAGACTTTTGGTGTGTAATATTATTTATAACTTAGACCTGACTTTCCAGAACTATAGATCCTCATGTAATCAATAAAACAAATGTGGGTTTTGCATTGGAGTTCACAGGTTTTTCACACAAGTTATTTAGATAAAATATCTTTCTGTTTTCAAATGATTTCATTTGCAATTCATGTCTACCATGCAAACCAGAAATAAATCTTTGCAGAACTGCTTTGCCAAACCAAATATTTCTACATACCTTCAATATTTATTCATTTAATAGACGTCACAGTGAGTTGGTGGTCTTTGAGACAAATGAGGATGACTGGTTTCGTGCAGAATATCTGCCAATTTGTGAGTCACATCTCATGCACTAGCTTTATTATAGTTCAGACAGTGTGCTCCATAATAATTACGACTCATTAGCTACACACAATTTACACTGCTATGATCATGCATATGTAAGTGTCATTAAAACTTGTTTTCCAGTCATTTACTAGTATGTAACAAGTGCAAATACAGTATCCTGGAATGCACTTTAGCCAAACTGCTATTTGCACACCACTTCATAGTACTGTATTTATATTCTTCATTTATGTTGGTATCAATGCGACTTTTGCTGCATGGTAACACAATATGGGCCAAATTATGCCCTGTAAAGTTGATAGTTTTGTCATATTTTTACACACTTTTACTCTTTGTTCAAGCTGTATGAAACTGTTAACACAGTGCATATAAAATGCAGGATTTTAATGAGAAATGAGTGATTAGTGTGCTTTGAGAGATTGCCAGGTGATCCTTGAAAATTTAATGATTTGCCATGGTGGGTTGATAAACTTCTAAACCACCAAAGGAAGACAAAAGGGCTCTAAAGCTACCGTTCATAAGTTGTTGTTTTTTTAAATTATCAGTAGATCGCAGATGTGTTAAATGGGTGGTGTGCCGCAACCTTTTGTCAGTGACACAAAGAAGATCCACTGGAGACAAGAGGGAGAAATGAAGTTACAGGAATTGGAGGCATAGGACCTACACTAAATAGTCTTTTACATGGAAAACATGTGGTTTCCTCTGACGTCACCATAACAACTGCCCCTAATCACCTAAACAGGTTCCTTACATTTTCCACTATCACTTTCTGGGGCATTTGTACTGAACTTTAGAGAGTATGTACAGTTTGTACATTTTGTTCTCTGACAATGGCAATAAAACTTAAAACTGATTCTATACTCTGGATTCTGGTGTAGGGTAAATATCAGTAATATACAGATTAAATCTGTGGGCAGGTTGTGTTCTAGTGATTGGTCCTGACAGCCTCTTCAGATTCACGGGGAACTGCAGAACATTGTGTCGCCGGATGTAAACGTATAATTAAGAGCAGTCCAAGCATAACTGCCCCGTGTGTGTGTGTGTGTGTACAGGTGCCTGGACCCAGAGCCCCCATGTACAGGTCAGAGCTTCCTGTGGCGGTAATTAGCTGAAACCAACAGAGTTAGTGTGTGGAATGTGACAGCAGATATTTCAGACACGCTAAGTAAGTGTGTGTATGTATCCACTCATGCACAAAACAACTGGAAACAATCACTTACAGACAAATCTACAAATGTTTAGAGAAGCAATGCAAAATGCCAAATGGGATTTTTGATAATGTCACATGCAGCTTCCTGATGAATTAGCCTGCCCTGTTACTTCACAACTTAATGTGATGTGGGTAATACTCAATACTCAAGGGAATTGCACTTTTCAGAGTAGTTTTCTGACATCATACTTTAACCTCTACTTGAGAGTATTCTGTTTGAGTAAAGGTTTTGGTTACTCTTCCCATGTGAATCATTCTGTTGTGAAGGCAATATGTGAACACTACATGATTCAAACATTAGAGCTTCCTTCATCTTACCTCAATAACTGATTTTCTTTTAAATTTTTGTGTCTTTTCTTTGGGAATACCAAAATCTGTGCATTGTTTAATATTTTGTTTAAACAATTATAATAGCTCAGAATAACAAAAACAGATATGAAATACAGTTTATATAAAGTAAAAGAGTAATTTTTATAAACCTGTGATCAACTATGATGCCCCAAATTATGAATATAAATACACAGGCAACAAATGAGTACAAAAAAGTGGTTATCATTATGAAGGTTAAGAGCTGTTTGTATTATGGGGGGCTCCAGGGTTAAAAATAGCTCAAATGGTTTTGACTGTGGAGCCGCAGCATTAACTGTGTTACATAACTTTGGGGGAAAGGCCTGAGTCCACATATGTGCAGAGGGAGCATGTGTGTGAATGCGCTTGGACTATGCTTAAGACAATCAAAACCCACAGTTTTCCTCTGTTACCAATACTGATATGTAATACTTGTCAGGTGTTATACAAAAGTTGAAATCCACCTGTGACGTAGGTTGACTGTGAGTGGGCTGGGGTTCAGTGAGAGAGGTTAATAACACAGACAAAGGCGTGAAGATGTGGTCAACAGTTTTACCTTTTTCATTTTTCAATATTTAAAAAAAAGTGCAGGAGCAAAAAGTGCAAGGTGCAATATGGAGGCAGGCAGCAGTTTCCTTTCCAACAGCAGAAGACAGAATGATGTTTGGAGGTGCCTTTTATCGAGTTTGACTGACAGTAAAACTACAACAGCTAAAACAGAGATGGTAAAAATTAACATTATCTTAAAATATTGCCCTAACACTCCATAAAACAAACCCAAAACAAAATAACAATTAAAACCCCAACTATATACATAAAAACACTAAAACCATACTCCAAGTAAACTTTAAAACCCTTGAACCAATAAAACACCTATCCTACTACCCCTGTACGATATATTAAACTTGGTCCAGCCTGGAACCATAAAAGGGGAAACTTGCTTCTGGAGGACTCTTTTAGGACCTGGACAGAAAAAAAAGTACAAAGCAAAACCACACTGTTGGATGTGTAATAATAAAGAAACTGGGTTCAGATTTCCTAGATCAACTTTACTGCGTGAAGGTGGTAGCTAGTTACTCATGCAGAACGTCATTACAGTACGCATGCGCAGTATGCCATTCAC